ATTACACAATTACAACCCTGAAATTATATCCAATTGTGTCCGTGGTGACACGTGACACCCATCTTCTGTGCCTCAAATCTGACCTTCCGATATCGCTAGCTTACCCTACACCACCTACAAGTTGGACGTCACAAACCTACATTCCTCTGCTTATTTGTATGTAAAGTCGCTTTTACCATCTTATTAAGCCAAAAATTTACCCTATGAGCCGCATTCGGCTGAAAAATAGAGAGTTTCGTTGGAATTCTGGAAAAAATCTCACTGACAAATTATGAAGCTTGAACGTGTTGATTGCAGCAATTGCATATCGGTTATCTCAAACCTCAACAATCATGATTTTCTCAACCAAATTCAATTGTCAACAAACCCTGAGAAGGCTTTGACATTCATGTAAGATTATGTACCTAGTTTGGGTGGCCCTGTCTAGCATACACGGCTCCTTTATCATCCTCCCTCTTTGGTACACGAGAAAGCCTGGGTTCCCCGAGTCTGAAGCGGCAATTGGCGATTAGTAACGATGAGTGATACGGGTCTAGGCTCATATTTCAGCTGGGATCTGCATAAGACGTACCATTTCGGGAGATCGGTCACAGGGACATTATGTTGCCAAGGGATTTGTCCCCGCTGAGCTTGTTATCTGCCGTCTGACGATTGATACGTGAACGCGGCTTGTCAACACGAAGCGGGATCCTCCCGCCCAGGTTCTTTGGAGTTGACCATTCCAGGCACACCAAATCCTTCTCCGCTCGCTGACTCAAGGCGCAGCTACACCCGTGTTGGTCAGCGTCGTATTCGCCCAGACTTTCACCGTTAGATGTGCAGAAGTGGGAAAACCGCGCCTTTTCCTCGCTTCGGATTAGGGTGCCCAATGAAGAAGCTACGTAGATATTTGGCTGTGTTAATGGTCACAAGTGGGCAGTTGGCTACAAACGTCCCCAACCCGCCTGCAGGGCTTCTTGGCGACGACATCCTTGTCCGCCGCTGCGGAATTCGGCCTCGACCCCAATGATTAACCTAAATTCACTGAGCTAAAATCTGATGAGGGATTCAAGGTGATAGCGTGAGAAGGCCGATTCGTGGGGATACTGGGGAATGCCGATGTCCTTCACCTATAGATTGATTAACCTCGCAGGTCAAGTTAGAAGAGACGAAGCAAGACTCAAAGTGATTCCAGCGCCTCGTTCATCTTATCTCTGGTCCTGCGCCTTTTGAATTGATGAGAGAAGGGCTGGTCAGACACCATCATGGAAATGGCAACTCCTTTGCCTCACCCCCTCCACCATCATCACCTGCTAATTAGGGATAGATCAGACCTGAGGCATATCACGGACGTCTGGTCATGAACGAATATGTAGTGGATCCTTAGAATAGCTATAAAAGACAGTTATGCTCTCAGTCAAATTGAATTCATTCAGCAGAGAACCAATCCGCCTGTTTCCACTCAACCACCGGCCCTTCATTCTATCAACATGCGTTCCTCGCTTCTTCTTGCTGCCCTGCCTCTGGCTGCGGCTTCTCCCCTCAACCGGGCTCCTCTTATGACCCGGGATGACGCAGACGTCATTGAGGGCAAGTACATTGTTGTTATGAAGAAGGGTGCCGAGATCTCCGATGTCAACAATGCCATTAGCAACATTGCCGGCGAAGCGGAGTATGTCTTCAACAACCTCGGTGGATTTGCGGCTGCTCTGACCGACGAGGAAGTCGACTCTCTTCGCAACAACCCTAGCGTATGTATTAGGCTGTAACGAATGGAAATCTAGACGTAAACTAACCAATCCTGAATCTAGGTTTCCTACATCGAGCAGGACGCCAAAGCTGAGATCTTTGCTACCCAGACCGGTGCGCCCTGGGGCTTAGCTCGTCTGTCCAACACGAGCCCCGGAAGCACCACTTACACCTACCCTGATAACGCCGGCGAGGGTGTATGCGCCTATGTCGTTGACACTGGTATTGATGTCAACCACACTGTATGTAATATCCTCTCTGGGAAATTCTACCATTGCGTATTAACAATAGCCTCGCAGGACTTTGAGGGCCGTGTGACCTGGGTTGCGAGAGTCTATGGTGACAACGACTACGATGATCATTCCCATGGAACCCATTGCGCCGGTACCATCGCTGGAAAGACCTACGGAGTTGCCAAGAAGGCCAGCCTCTTTGCCATCAAGGCCTTCAACGCCGCTGGTGGCGGTACAACGTAAGTACAAAGCAGCTACCACTTGAGGCAATTACCATTCTAACCACACACAGGGGATCCATGATCGCCGGAATGGAGAAGGTTATTGAGGACGTTCCTAACAGGAACTGCCCTAACGGAGTCGTCGTCAGCATGTCGTTCGGCGGTGGCAAGACTCAGGCCGTTAACGATGCCGCCAAGGCTCTGACCGACGCTGGCTACTTCGCCGCCGCTGCCGCAGGCAACGGCAACATCTTCGGCACCCCCATCGATGCCGGCACTGTTTCCCCCGCATCTGAAGAATCCCTCTGCACCGTCGGTGCCACGGACAGCAATGATATCGTTGCCTCGTTCTCCAACTACGGTGCCGTCGTCGATATCTTCGCTCCGGGTGTTGGTGTCCTGAGTGACGTCCCCAACGGTGGTACCGGTACCAAGAGCGGTACTTCTATGGCCACTCCTCACGTTGCTGGTCTGGCAGCTTCCTTCCTCAGCCAAGGACAAAGCGCTTCCGGACTCTGCGAACACCTGAAGAGCATTGCGCTTTCTGGTGTTATTTCTGGCGTCCGTAGCGGTACTGCCAACCTCCTTGCTCAGAACGGCTTGGCAGCTTAGGTGTGCATTGGATAAACTAGATGTTTTGCAGATCAATTCTTTGGATAGATATCGAAGCCTAGTAAAGACAAAATAAATAAATGAATAAGTAAAATTCTCGTACTACGATGCAAGAAGCAAGCTAGTTTCTGAGTCTGTGAATGTTTGCACGCATTTTCTTTTTTGGCGAGAGTCTTCGATTCTTTGTATGGTTACCTGGGAAACGATAGCTTCACATTGAAACGGACATCAATGGGGTTTTGATGCGGCATTGTCTTGCTATTACAATGAAGAAAATACAAGTTTGATGCGTCGAAAGCAACGCCATGTCTTAGTCTCCGCTATAGAGTTCTCTCTCAGAGGAGTTCCATTGGCGTGGCTGCTTCACCCGGCTTCTACCAGTGGCCATAGCATTAATGACCGATTATGACGTCTTCAATACAAGTATAGACAGTAAAGAAACTTAGAATATGGAAGAGCGGGTCTCATTTTTGGCCATGACAGACCGGCGCATCGGTCGTTGTGCGGGCTCGGGGAAACACTGCGGGGAGTTTGCGGAAAACTTGCGGATGTTTTGATACACCAACCCACATTATGGTATCAGAAATAGCGGGAAAGCATATTTGCTAGAAATTTATTGGTAGACAATTTTTACTTGATTTATAATTGAAATATTTGGTTGGGATGTTCATGAGTGTTTCCGAACCATCAGCGCACCTATAAAGACCTCTGTCCATCCACCGTGAAGATGGGAACACCATCACAATATCAACTTGTCACAGCTCAAATATCCAATTCACTATCAAATCTTGCCACTTTTCCAAAGAAATATGGCTTCCAAAACTCCCGTCACTTTCTTGCTTGGTACTCACCATGTGCGTATATCCTAATCCGTTATGTCGAATCCAGCACTGACCATCTTATCTCTCTTAGGTGGGCGATAGCACAAAAAGCCCGCTGGCACCATTTGACAGGAAGGAGGATGTCCAGGCTCTATTGGATGCATTTTATAGTCGCGGATACACCCATCTTGATACAGGTCGCAACTACTCCCTCCATGCTCCGGGCTCTAGCGAGGATCGCCTGGGCAAGTCCGACAACCTCGGCCGCTTCGTCATCCACACCAAAGTTGAAGACGGCTTTCCTGGAGCTCACGAGGCAGCCAAGATTCACGCCAGCATTGACAAATCGCTCAAGGCTCTCAAAGTCTCCAGCGTAGAGACCATGTATCTCCACGTGCCGGATCGACAGACACCTTTTGCGGAGACGGCACAGGCATTCCACGAGGCGAAACAGCAGGGAAAGTTCAAGCATTGGGGCTTGTCCAACTACGCCGCAGGCGAGGTTGAGCAGTTCATCAAGATTTGCGAAGAAAAGGGTTACGATAAGCCCGAAGCGTTTCAGGGCCACTACAACCCAATTGTGAGAGGAGGCGAGAAAGAGCTCTTTCCAGTATTGAGGAAGCACGGAATCCCATTTATTGCCTATAGGTAAGAGAATTGGACCTATTTCGAAAGTACTCAACTCTCAATTGATGGGAAAACTGACGATTGGCATAACAGCCCGGCTGCAGGTGGCTTCTTCAACGGCAATGTAGCTACATCGACACGGTGGGATAGCGAGGTGAGAACTAAATCCCTTTAACCCCCTATATAGGAGCAGTCACTGAATGGTATAGAATGCTACCGGAAATCTATACAATGCACTGTATAAGGACGCCGCTGTCCGAGCCTCCGCTGCCATTGTGCATGACGCTTCAGCTAGACATGGCATCAGCGGACATGCCGCTGCAATCCGATGGACAGCGTACCACAGCGCTCTAGATGGAAAGTTCGGCGACGGAATTGCCTTCGGGGTGTCCAAGGTAGAGCAGGTGCACAAGACTCTGGATGCGCTTGAGGCTGGTCCCCTACCAGCCGATGTGGCTGATGCCATCACCGCCATCTATGCTACGGTTGAGGGCTCAGAGCCCCCGTACTTTCTTGGAGAGGCTACTACTGAACTTGTATCTACACAGGAGCAGTAGATGTATCAATCTTTCAGGATTAATATAGTTGATTTGGACTGGAATACAACCCTGTCCTGAGAGATGGACTGTTATTGATCAATTTATCAAGGGGCCTCAGCAAATAGATATCTCTCTCTATTCAATCTACCTGGCTCTAACCATGCATTCTCATCGAAAGTCGACTTGATAACTTTAACACCTTGAAACGTCGTTCCCCTTCTATCCACCGCATTCGCCGCGCTTGGTGGCATTCACTGCACGCATATATCTGTTTATCTCTGCCTTGAAGTTCTTTAAGCTATTCGTCGCGAATAACTCATCCATGTTGCTGAATCTGGGCCCAGTTTCCGTGCAACAATAAGCACTGTAACCGTAGCAAGTGGTATTTCGGCCAGGCACATCGTGGAAACCAAACGCTAGTGATAGCTTGATCGAATCCTCAGGGCACGAACCTTCACAAATATGGCCATCCCCGTCACGCTTCAGATGACCAGCTTTGGGAACCCATTTGCAGTCGGTATCGAACGCTGCAGGAGGAGGGTCATTGCAGCAAAGTCCCCTGGAATAGCCTTTCTGACAAAACTGATGACCACCCCAACCTAGGGCCGATGAAACGACGAATCTCCCATTGCATGCCTGCTTAGGTTCAAGTAGACAGTCAGTCCAAGAGCACTCGCCGTACGCCTTAGTTACGTCACTTGCACTGCAACAAGCGCTCTGCTGGTTCTTCTTGCACCCAGCCCTGCGAGAGCCAACCTCAACCTCATCAGCGCCACAACCGGGTTGACAGTTTCCGGTGCTACTATGCCCTCGCCAAGTGCAGGTTGGCAAGGACTGGCTAGCCGGACAGCAGAATTTCGCGAATCCTAAACTACCGTATTGGTCCCTGCAGATGTCTTGGTCCATCATAATGCCTTTTTGCCCTTCATCCCGTATTTCTTTGAAACCCACGGGACATCCTTCGAAGCAGCTGGACCATCGACATTGCTGAGGGACCGGCTTGCGCCACACGTTGCCCTGCTGTCCGGTAGTGCTGAAATCCGGGGCTTCCATCTGTTTATGATTTAAAGCAAGGCTCAATGCCTCGATGTTGGTTTCCTTGTCATTTTCATGATTTAGGGCCCTCACTGCGAAGCTGCTAATGCACTGGCTCCGAGCAATCTCCCCCTTTAAGCGCCACGTATCTGCATCGTCGAACGACACCCACTGATTACCCCACGAGACAGATTTGACGGCATGCTCAGGATGTAAAGTGGGCTCAAGATTGTTTTGTTGCATAATTCTTTCAATCTCTTCGTGATGCAAAACACCCACGGTGTTCGAACACTCGCCTGGGTTACCGCCCGAACTGACACGACATCCGGGATGATGGCAACTCGGGTCCGTTAAAGTGAAGCTTCGCCCATAAAATGACATTCCCATGGTGGCCTTGGTGGGGCTAATATCATTTCGCCAGAGATGATCCAAGGCCGTCTGAATCTCGGTCATGTTGGTATGGCTATTGACCCAAGGTCCCGTAGACTTGTCAATGATGTCCCAGGAGCCATGCAGATCGTAGCTCATGAGATTAAACCAGTCCACGTGGGGTTCGAGTGCTTTGAGATCAAACCCCTTCAGATTTCTGTAAGTTGTAGGAATGACCATGGACACTCCCTTTTTGACGTCCTTCATCCTAGAGTGAAGTCTGCTCATAAATTCAACTTGGTTTCTGTAATCTTCGGGACGCCCACCACGGTCACTCGCCGTTGGAAACTCCCAATCAATATCAACACCGTCAAAACGGTATCTGCTCATCATAGAAACCAAAGAATCCAGAAAGGTCGTCGTGTTTTCGGCCGAGGCGGCAAGATCGCTGAAGGTTGTCCTTGTCGGACCCTCATCGCTGAACGCCCAGCCACCAAAGGCCACCCAGACTTTGATATCCGCCTGGGAAAACTTAACCGCAGACACACGTTGTATGTCATCCTTTGCATCGTTTCCGGGACTGACCTTGAACGTACGCGGGTCTATGGTGGCGAACCTGAAGACGACGTGTGTGTATCGACGGCCCGGGATTTGCTCGGGTATCATCCTGAAGCACGGAGGTGATTGCTGAGGTGATTTTCGTATAGACAATATCGAGGGTTCGTAGTACCCTATCATGCGGGTTACCGGCGTAGTATCAACCGAGCACTGCGGTCTCTTGGGTACCTCATTGCCGCAGATATCTCTATTGCATTCTGTCGTTTGCTGATGAGAAGGCTGCGCAAGGCAGTAAATGAAGACCAAGAAGATCAGGGGAAGATGCATCATTCGAATGAATGACAACGATGAGGGATATGGCAGCTTTATTGACCAATGCATACTGTTGCGGAAAGGTTGCCTGGTGAGTGACTAGGTAGTTCGCTACGATAGAAAGGGCTGTGGACAACTGAGCAGCACTGTCGACGCTTTGCCTCTTAATTTGACGAGTGCTTAGCTTGTGTCACCGACAGGGCAAACCTATAATATTTAAAAACACCTCTCTGCAAAGGCTTCAGAGTATCAATACCTCGGGGTATTGACGATAAGTGGCTATTTTTACTCCAGCGTTACATAGCTGGTAATTTGCCTGGGCATTGGTCAATCTGAATGCCAAGAGACTGGCCTCTGACCGCTAAAGTCGTACGAGATGCCGTGACTGACCACTCACTTCTCTCTGAAAAAAACGATGGCCTCTTAGACTGCACAATGGTCATTTCGGCCAACTCAATTTGGCTACACCCGAGGCAAATGAAATCAGCGGCACGGCAAGCCGAAACGGGCAACTGAAGATGGAAAATACCTCTTTCCCTAGTACTAAATAAGACTGATTTTGCGTGTGCGAATTCCTCTTCTTCAAGTCAACCAATATGGCCATCGCCGCCCATTTTGCCCAGCTCACCTTCTTGGTAGTTTTCATTGTGGTTCTAGCCCAACCGCATCATGTCTCTGCCACGTCAGTTTCGAGAGGACAGATAGCTGGCTTCCAGACAATTCCCCAGAGGTTTCTCAACCTAGCACAACTGGACGCTAACTGTATACGAGCCGCCAAACAAATAATCAAGTGCCACGAGAGAGTTGATGAGTTCGGGCGACGAGAATACCACGGCTCGCTGGGAGACAATCGGCTGACCGATCTTATCTGCGCTCCTTCGTGCAAACAAGCGTTGGATACAGCTCGGGAGAAGATAGAGATGGCCTGCGCTGGCTCGCCAAATCTACTTCCTGGCATGACTGTTGTGTCCGTTGTTGACGCGATAATAACGGGCTGGGAAGAAATCTGTCTCAAAGATGAACAGTCGGGCGAGTATTGCAATCGTGAGTCTCCCCATAATATTGCTATGATGTTTAAGTGCGACAAAACTGAGCAACAATCCATCAGATATCATCGATGCGTTGGATAAATACAAAAACATCGAAGACATGCCAGAGAAAGAGCTCTGCTCGTTCTGTTATGGGACAAAGCTGCGTCAAATGCAAAAGTCTAAACACTCCGCGTACGACCGAGAATATGCTTCCATGCTTGCGTTTGTAAATAAAAGTATTGTTCGTCTCTACGATGGTTAGTTATTCGATACTGATCTTGTTTGAAGAGTGTCATATCGACAGCCCGATCACCTCAAGTCAGCAATACCCCCCGAACAGAAGTCCATTACCCAGGACCTGCTTCAGTGGTAAGACTATCACTACAAAGGAAGGTGATTCCTGCGATAGCATTGCTCTGGCCAACTCTATCTCATCGTCAACACTCTACTACATCAACCCCCACCTGCTTGACTGTCGTAGCATTGAGAGTGGGATGGAACTATGCCTGCCACAGACCTGCACTACGTACACCGTCCAAGAGCATGAGGCTGCCGATTGCGTTGAAATAAGTATGGCTGGCGGCGAAGGGGGATGGTTGGATCTTATCGACTGGAATCTCATGCTTGATTCCCGCTGCACGAATCTTTGGAGCACAGACCCGTTCTGGGGTCATGTCGTCTGTATCAGTCCTCCAGGTGAAAGGTTTATCGACGAGATGAAATCCGGCTTTAGTGAACACACTGGAAACGGCTACATGGGCGGCCCGGGAGGCTTCGGTGATGGTTATAAACTCAACAGCCGTGCGAAACCCTTGACAGAACTTGCAAAAGGCACTTCCAAGAGTTGCGCCCAGTATATCGAAGCAGCGGAGGGATTGAGTTGCGCCGAGATGGTGGTGTCGGCTGACAGGGCTACGCCTATGGACCTGTTTCTACAGATAAATCCGTCTCTCGGCAATGTTAGTGAATGCGATGAGAACTTGAAGCCCGGACTATCGTACTGCCTCAAGGTACATCCCCTTTGGAATGGATTGGCAGAGATGGAGGAAATGGAGGATGACTGGCAGGAGCTGTAGATAATCTGATGGGCTCATGTAGCTGGAACTGGTACCCGACCAAAATTTCATGATAAATACAGGCAATAGGATGATGAATAGGTTATTTTGCAGCAGCCGAGAGCTAGTCAGCTGGCCGCCCCTAAGCATATTTTATATTAGCTCTTATCTTATATTATTACCTATAAACTGCTACTAAATATAGTATAATATACTTACTTTACTCTCTGCTTAATTTTTAAGTACTATTCTATAATTTAATACTGGGAGCCTCAAGATCTGATATCAATATAGCCAAGTTCGGCTTTTGTATCGCCGAGCTACCTACCGAGCGTACCCACATAGGTAGATGGATTCTGGGCAGCATGGTAGCACGGTGATAATAATCCTCGCGCAAACTTATATCCGAGGAGCTGTCTACGAAGCTAATAACTTAAACCATCTTCGTTTCCCTCAGCAACTGATAGAATACCAGAAATCGGAGTACTGTGAACGCTATGATGCCTTCCGAAGGACATGTTGATGAGTGTAGTGCACATCAGGGTGCCAATGCATTTAGTTGCAATCACATCGTGGGTGCGAGATCATTCAAACAGTCCATTCTTGTGCAATATTACCTGAGTGCGACGGCCGAAGGGCTAGCGGAACCATCGCACGGACATGGGTAATGGTGGATAATACCCTGATCTTCCTATCTATATCAATAACTTTTACTAAGAACACTCTATTCCAAGGAACGAGGCGCGTTCATAATATTTGGTCTATATATCTTAGTAATCGCTCTGAAATCCACGATGCCTCGGTTTAATAAAATCTCCCTCATAGGCCTCCGGTTCTACAAGGCCTTCAGTCTACCACTGCAGTGTATAGCCATCATAGCTCTTGAACTTTCCTCCATATTCTTCACGGGTGGCTTCGGCGATCTGATCTAATATACCGGAAACACTTCTTTCGACACTAACAGCTCCTACTGTTGCGGGATCGATGACATGGGATACGAATAAAGCACCCATGTCCGTCAAAACAACGCCAGGATGGGCAGCCCAGGTGGTAAGCCAAGGCTCCTCGTAGTGAAGACGCCTGATGATCCAGTTAAGCGCCGCTTTACTGGCCCCGTATGGACTAAAAACAGCCGGGAGATTGGCTAGGCTTTCCTGACCACCAATGCTCCCAACAAAGGTTGAGATAACGAGGAAAAGAGGCTGGCCGGTTTCACTAGCCTTCAGCAGGGGAAGAAAGGCTTGCAGTAATGTTACAGGGCCGATTGTATTGGTATTAAAGTGATCTCGAAATGCCTCAGGGTCGTTCTCAACGACTGGTGCGCCAGAGTGCGAGATTCCAGCATTGGCGATAACAATGTCAACTGCGGTAATCTCATGCTCTTCTTGGAGTACAGAAACAGCATTGGCAGCATCTCCATCAATGCTAGAATCAATCTTGACCTGTATAAGTCGGGAGCCACTTCCCCAGGGTAGCTCGTCAAGGGAGGCTGCCGCCTTTGAAAGATCTCGAACGGCGGCGATCACTGTAGTGCCGGGCTTCAGGAGTAGCTTTTCAACGAAGCCCCGCCCTATTCCGCGGTTGGCACCTGTAACCAGATATGTGCTTGTAGTAGCAGGCATGATGACTTTTGATTGCAAAAATAATTGGTATAATAAATAGTAGAGATGGAGGGAAATGTAAGGTGAGTGTAGTAGGGGCTATATCGTGCCCCCATATGTGCCCGCTGCCCAGTATTAATAACGTCGAAGCTTGAGGCCGACGGTACAACCAGACAAGGTACATGCCGGCTACATTACACAAATTGGAGTTTTAAGGGTCAGATCCGATGCCGAATATCCCCGAAACTCCGCTGGCGTAGTATCTTGTTACTACTTGTATTAGATTGACCCGAGCATAGCGCATCTCGTTCAACACCCATCAGGGTGATCGGCATTAAGAAGGGAGTTACGAGCTCGAATGGGAATATCGGTCCTTCTTGTTCGGCCAGTCTAAGCCGATTTGGATGCGGATCTCCTAGTTACGGAAGTAGTCAGGTTAGTCAGTTAAACCTGTCTATGTCCATGCAGTGACATGGTTAATACCTACAATTAGTTCGTGAAGCGCCCTAGCATGATGGTTCCATTCGCATGCGAATCGATCGCTGAGATGTAACCTTGAAAGATAGCCTTGTTTAATCTTTCTTGTCTACATTGATGAAGTATCACACGATCTCCCACTCCACAGGAAAAAGACTTTCTACAATAATATTGTTTGATTTGCCAGATTATGAAACAGCGAGTCTAAATATATAACAACCATGCAGCTGCCTGTGATCAATCATCTTGGTCAAATATCTATTGACGTGTAAGTCTACGCCTCTATAGGTAATATACTTTTAAGCTGAAAATCGCATCTTGTTCTCTGCCAGCCATTCAGCGAATGTTGAAGCCTGTATCTGCGTATATCTCTCAATATTCCCCTTTACATTTCGTAGAAGGGTGCAGAATACGTAGGGTCGCGTGGTCCTTGCTGGTGCCTGATGCTCATCATCTCGACTGAAGACCTCGCAACCTCCTCTGGCTCACCGCCTTCTCTTATAGCCTGCACGTGCTCATCCTCGGTTACAGACACCACATCGATAGCCGTGTCAAGGGCTTGGCCGACAGCTAGGACAGCATCCCGTTGAGACAATAGCTCTGGACCACACAGGTAGACGAAATTTGAATAAAGGACGTCCGATGAGACAGTAGCTGATTTCGCCAGTAGGGCTGCCCCGACGTAACCGACGTCCTTCGGTGAGATCCAGTCAAACTGAAGGTCCGGATAAGCGGTCTTGACAATCCTCTCTCGGATCATTGACTTCCACCAGAGAGTATTACTAGCGAAATAGGCAGGCCGCAAAGCCACAAAACCATTCGATCCCATGATCTCCTCTAGGACGATCTCGACTTGCGCATTACTCCAGGGTATGTAGTTGCTCGGGAGTATAGCCCTCTTGTCTCCTTGGACGCCGTGGCTGCTCAACAATACAAGAAATTCGATGCCAGCCGATTTCAAAGCGCTGATGGAAGACCTCATGTGGTCAGATGTGCCATAAGCCATGTAGATGAAGGCTCGATTTGCTTTCGCCCGTACTACGGCATCATAAACAGTAGCAGGCTGTGTAAGGTCTGCTTCGACTCTCGTGAAGCCAAGACTCTGCTCGAGCTTGATGTCAAGGCCAGGGATGGGCTTTGTGAGGCTTCTTGTGGCGAGAGCTACCGCTAGGCCTAGTTGTCTGGCCCTTAAGGCAACGGCAGACCCAACGTCTCCGGTCGCACCAAAAACAATGGCAGTAGTTGTAGTCATATTCAGGAGTTTATATAAATACTCAGAGGCAAGCAAAAGAAGTAGGGGAGATATGAGATGCTTTTTGGAGCCGAGAGCAGGCAACAGGCCCTTTAATAGTCTGCCCGACCGGTCAACTCATGATATTAACACCCCTTAGGGCTGCACGAATAGTGCGTGCCCGCATCGCTCCTCAGGCAATGGAGCATCGGGTGGGCCTTTGGTGCAGGCGGGACATTCACCATGGTTGCTAAATATTAAGTAAGGTCAATGTCTGCCAAGCATGGAACTGGGCCTTCGTTTAATCGACAGAAGCGACCCGCAAATGTGTATTGTTAACAAGTGGTGCTAATGCAGCCAGAGTTTTCTGAGTGGAAGATGGCATGATCACGATGTATGCCTTTGACGAAAGCTTTGACACTGGGATGAGTACTGAAAGATACCCAGACGTTTTACCTTTAAAGACGACGGCTTCGGCTTTCGGGTTTGAGAAGAGCGGCAGGCTCTCGGACTTGAGTGTGTCACTGTTATGGACCCCACCATGTTTCTTCTATAGCCAAGTTGTCACCAATTAACTCGCCAACCCAGCAGCCTCTCATCAATTTTGATTAGATCTGAGGACCTAGAAAGAGAAGCTTGAAGAATTCTCCGAGAAGCCTTTTGAATCGCTCTTTCAGGTTTATTTTCCCTCCCGTTTTCCTTTTAAAAGTGGAGTGAAGTGTGAACTTGGTGTTTGCCGCTCTACAAGCCATTGCCATCGAGTAGAAGATGCGACGATTTGGGAAACCCCCGGAACCCACTCCAACCCTTTTTGAGGGAAGACCGGAGAGTTCTACTTTCGAACAGAATTAGGCAAATATCATATTGTCCTATGCCGTTGCACCTGTATCTCACGCACGCAAGCATGGAAAACCTGCTGACTGCTCTGGTGCCCTCTTGTTAATCATGAGTTCAACCTCCGCAACCAACCGACTGGGTCACGATTTGTGGTCGCCTGGTTCCGCCTCGACCGAATCAAACATGAATTGAGGGTCTTCACGGCCGACGATCACATATCGGACCGTCTTCACAGGTCAACTGCAACAACATGTATAATGCCGAGTCCGAGCAGCAGTCTGATCCATAACCTGACTAAGTGCCGAGAGCGAGTTCAGTGCCGAGTGCGACACAGTGCCCAGCAGCGAGCCCACTGTCCCTCCACCTAGTACTTCCATACGACCACAGGGTCTGGCCAATAAATTCTAAAAGATCATCGAAGCGCAACGAGGCACAGGAAAGCCTTTTATTCAGTTCCTTGCTGATATCTTCCGCAATAAGACATCAAAGCCGACTTTCTCGTCTGGTTGGCACAACATTCCAACTCCAGCAACATGAGCTCCGACATACGAACCGATTTCATCATTATAGGCGTTGGCCCAGCCGGAGCAGCGTTGGCGGCGTTTTTGGGTTACAATGGTCGCCCACCCAGTCTTTCATAAAGACGATCGATCTTTCCGCTGACTGGACGCGTTTTTAGGCCTTAGCGGACTTGCAATTTCAAAAGACTCTGCAACAGCTGAAACGCCGCGAGCTCATACTTTCAACCCATTCGCTTTCGGTAATGCGGCCCCTCGAAGCCCCTTCCTCCAAACCGTCGGCTCTGAGGCTAAGTTCATCTAGAGTGTCTACGTGACGTCGGCATAGAAGATTCAGCTTGGGAAGTCGCTTTACATGGGAAACATTTCCAGTCTATGCGATGGTCCCGGAGCTTTGTAGGGGAGGAATACGGAAGAGTTCGGGGTTGGGCCGAACACCCATCAAGCATGGTATGTACTGAAGGTTGATGTCTAAGACCTACATGGGAGCTAACAGACGAAACTGAAATAGGGACCTACAGCAGCCATCTCACCTTGCCAATATGCCGAGCTTCCGCAGTCAATGCTGGAGCCTGTGCTTATTAAATACGCCTCTCATAACGGGTTCAACATCCGCTTTTCGACGGAGCTGATTGACGTCAAGCCTACTAAAACAAATGACGGGCAGAGGGAGTTCCTCTGTTCCCTTTTTGATCGTGTAACGCAGCAGCCATGGCAAGTGCGCGCTCGATATCTTTTTGGGGCGGATGGGGCGCGAAGTCAGGTAGCCCGCTCTCTCGATTTTCAGTTCGACACTAAACCCAGTGGAAATAAGGCTTGCAACGTTTTGATCCGGGCAGATTTGAGTCATCTCATGCACAAGGAGCGTTATGCAGTATTGCACTGGGTCCTTAAACCTGATCAAAGCACGTTCTCCGGCGTTGTGGCCCAGCTTCGTGTGGTGAGGCCTTGGAAGGAATGGGTTCTCGTGGTGTTTGGTCCGGGTGGAACGAACCCTTTCGAGAATATGACCATTGACGATCCTCGCATAGCTGATTTTGCGAGGGAGGTTATTGGGGACAGCTCAATCGACGTTGAAGTTCTTCGTCTCGATGCTTGGACTGTGCGCGAATCTGTTGCTAAGTGCTATGTCGATTCCAGTACTCAGGCATTCATTTTGGGAGATGCGGCCCATCGACACCCCCCTGTCTATGGCTTGGGCAGCAACACGTGCGTGCAAGACGCGTACAATCTTGCGTGGAAGATTCTATACGTTTCAAAAGGCCTCGCGGGACAGGGTTTGCTGGAAACGTACAATGCAGAGCGGCAGCCGGTTGGTGCGTCACTGGTCCGCGCGGCGAATGATGGGTTTCAATCACATGCCGAGATATGGGGTGCTCTGGGCATGTTTGCCCCCAGTCCTGAGGAAGGGTTGAAGCATCTTGATCAGTTTTATCACGCCTCCCCTGAAGGCGCTGAGCGCCGAGCGATCATTCAAAATAGTCTGCAGAACATTGAGCGTGAAGTTCAGAGCCTCGGTATTGCACACAACCAATGGTATACGTCAGGAGCTGTGTACCTTCATGATGAGCAATCGAGCAGGCCCGTGCTACACGGAGATCCTGTCGTCAATGTCCAAGTTACGACATACCCTGGCAGTCGACTTCCTCACGCGTGGCTGGATATAGCTACAAGGGGAGAATTACGATCAACGCACGATCTGGCTGGGAAGGGTGCCTTTTGCTTGTTCTTTGGCATAGGAGGCGAGCGATGGAAACAGGCAGCAAATGCCGTGAGAAAGGCCACGGGAATACCTCTAAATGCGTATGGGGTCGGCTTCGGTCTTGATTATATTGACGTTGATCGAGACTGGTGTCGTAAACGAGAAGTGGAAGAAGCAGGATGCGTGCTTGTGCGACCAGACCGGTTTGTTGCTTGGAGGTCCACCAAGATGATCACAGACTGTGAAGGCAAACTTCTTGATGTCCTCAATCAAGTATTGTCAAGGACAGAGCTCAGATAGTGAGGTAGCCTAACACGTCGACTTATCATCTTCTTGAGCAGGATGAAGTATTTACTAAAATAGTTTAACGTTGAGAAAATCTAACTTAGTGGGCATACGTACATGTTGTTGGGCCCTAGCTGTATTGTGGACTTCAAGAGGGCCTTCGGTATTATTTTCTCTCTCCTATATATATTATATATTCAGGTGGCTGGAACTGGTACCCGAGCAGATTTTCATGACTGGCACGGGTAATAGGATGAGGATCATTGGGTCATTTTGTAGCAGCCTAGAGCTGGTCAGCCGGCCGCCCCTTAACGTATTTCGTATTAGCTCTCGCCTTACATATATTGTCGCCTACAGAATGCTGCTAAACGTAGTGCAACATACCTACTCACTTCGCTCTCTGCTCAATTTTTAAGCGCCGTTCCATAGTTCAATACTGAGAGCCTCAAGATCTGACATCAACATGGCCAAGTTCGGCTTTTTCCAGTATCTGCGCCTGAAATGCACCGCCGTCCTCTTTAGGGCTGTGGCCTGGCTTGCTCAGCGTTCTGTCTCCGGGTACACCCTCACTGAGCCGGCCGAGAGGAAGCTCAAAAAGATCCCTGGAAGCTCCGCCGGAACCTATATCAACGTATGGGTCTATATACCTCCCGGTATCAACTTTTCTCGTCGCCCAGCCGTCCTTATCAACTGGCATGGGAGCGGGTTCGTGCTTCCAGGGTTCGGTCTCGACCATCTGTGGTGTTCCAGAGTCGCGCAAGAATGTGGTATATACGTCGTAGATGCCGACTACAGAAAGGGCCCTGAGGATCCATTCCCTGCGGCCGTTGAAGACGCTGAGGCCGTGTTGAGCTGGGTAGCAGCCTCAGACCTATTTGATGAGAAGCGCGTCGCGGTCTCGGGATTCAGCTCAGGCGCAAATCTGGCCTTGGTTGCCGCTTCCGTACTGCGAGAGAAGCTCACAATGGTGGACATCAAGATCCCAATAGCATTCTATCCCGTCACGAACAAGGCCGCAGATCCGGAGCAGAAGGTCGCCCCTCAGTCCAATAAGCCCGTCCCCGCCGGCATCTCCCGCATCTTCAACGACTGCTACGTACCTGATGTCGCGGTCCGCAGCGATCCGCGGGTCTCACCCGAGTTTGCAGACCCGGATTCCTTCCCAGATCGCGTCACAATTCTAACAGCTGCTGGGGATAATCTTGCACCGGAGGGAAATGCGCTCGCCGCTAAGCTTGACAACGAGCATCGAAAAGTGGTCACTCGTATGTTTGATGATGTCAATCACGGCTTTGATAAAGGCTGTGCCAAGGGATCTGTTGCAGAGAGGGTTAGAGACGAGGCGTACTCTTTAGCTATCGCTAGTATTAAAGAGGCTCTCGTCTGATCGTTGCTACACCCTCATTTTGTTCCTCAGCCATGAAATGATAGAACCGCACTCAACTTTGTTCAAAAATTCTCGGTTATCCGAAAGATCGTATGTTGATTTGACGGCCATATCATGATGAATTCATTGATATCGCATACTCCTACTCATGAACCATAATCTGACCTTGGCCAGAACTTGGCTCCCATTGCCCTAAGGAGCTTTTTTAAACATTCTTAGACCTCTATAACAAAGCGTGGATAATAGAGTCATGTAAGGGCGCGTAAGAACATTGGTTACTCTTTTAGAGGCCTGCTATACAAGTACATGCGTAGTAATACATTCCAGTCTCACCTCATTTGGTTTACCATCGTTCAAACACGCTCCTCAACGTGCTTCGACGTAACCGAGTCTGCGTCTTTCAAGTCCTCCAGCTGTGCCCGAATATGTGGCTTCAAATCGTCAGCCGTTGGGTAAGCAACCTTATAAACAGTATACCACGGTCTCTCGAACAACTTGTCCATGCTCTCCAGAGACCTGCCCGATGTCTCAGGCATAGCAAAGAACACATATACAAGCGAGATGCAGCAGATGGACAGGAAAAAGACGAAGGCGCCGAATCTTTGAGTTGCCTCGAGGAGAGAAGGCATTGCCTTGGAGCATCCAAAGTACATGGCCCAGTGGACTGCCATCAGTATGGCGACGTTGATGGAGCGAATGCGAAGTGGGAAGACCTCGGCTGACACAAGATACGGAATAGAAAACCACCCGATCGACCAAGCGACGGCGTGGAAGTAGATGGAAACAATGGCGGCTCGACTAGCACCCATGGCAGAAGCGCTGGCTTCAATCTTTTCAACTGACCAGCCGTTTGTCACTCCGAGATAGCCTCCCACGTAGGCTAGGGTTATGATCTGCATGGTAATACCCGTCATGAGAGAGCGACGGCGGCCGATGAAGTCTATGACGAAGACGGAGAAGAGCAACACGGACACAAATTTGACAATGGCGTAGATTCCAGTCGCCAGGAATCGGGACTCGGTTCCCTTGATTCCCAAGTAACCGAAGATTGTCGGGCTGTATTGTGTGATGGCATTTGCACCACTCCATTGGCTGAAGACGTGGGCGGCGAACATCAAGATAAACCGGCGTCTATTTGGCAAGTCGGTGAAGGTCTCTTTGATCAAATCGAATGTGCTTGCCCCTGCGACGATCTCAATCTCGTGGTTAAGCTGGGCCTCCATGCCTTCGAATTCGGCTTGGACATAAGGATGGTCTTCGGGCAGCCCTCGAAATTTGCACAGTGTGGCGAGCGCTTGAGATCTCTTGTTCTTCATAAGAAGGAATCGTGGTGTCTCGGGGGTAAAGAAGCATCCCACGCCCCAAATGACAGCTGGGATAACCTGAAGAGCTGTTGGGAGCTGCCACTGCAGATTTGTGCCAGAGTGGTACTTAGTAACGCCATAGTTGAAGAAGAAGCCGAAAACAACGCCAAGCTGCTGGCAGCAGGTATATTGCAAGGTACATAGACCACGAATCGAAGCTGGTGCAATCTGGCCAGAGAGAATAAAGTCAGCTGCGTTTGCTCTTTCTAGTATAAGAAACCTCGAAAAGATCAACATACCTCTGCGATGTAGATCGACGGCAGCACTGTGGTCGCACCGATACCCATACCAGCGATTATTCTAGTAACGTAGAGAACCGCCATGCTGCCATTGCTGAATGCCTGGCCAAAAATGCCTCCAATATAAACAATCGTAAACATGAGGAACGTGAATTTTCGGCCGAATCTCTGAGTGAGCCAAACACAAGCGAGACAGCCGAAAACAGCCCCAGCAGTAGCAATAGAGACGATCCAACCCTTTGTAGACGCAAACTCTTTATCAGACTGGTTTTTAAGACCGAACCGGCTCAAGAAAATATCCATAACGACAACCGAGGCAATGTTTCCTAGAGGGGGAGTGTGAGAGCTTGGAAACCCAAGAGAGACATAGAAGACTTAACATACCTTCATCAAACCCCTTCGCAACACCGGAGAAACTCCAAATGCAGGTGCAAACCAAGAGATACCAGTTGAAGATCTCCCTAGGGCTGTCTTTGATGGCCTTTTTCGTGGCCGCGATCATGTTTGGCTTCGCCATGATAAGGGGTCGATGTTTCTGTTCAGCAGCCGTGATGGTAAAGGGTTGGAGAGCTACGAACCTCACGCTCTTGCTAACACATTAGGAAACAGGACGTGGTCGACTCACTGTTTATAATAACAGATTCCCCACATGCAAGCCGAGGAGCGGGGGCGTCCAGAACGCCCATCGAGTGGGTAAGTCTGGAGTAAGTGTACGGGGGCGGTGCGGAGAAAGGGTGGTGAGATATGTCAGAAAGGAGGTGTTCGTGTTGGAGACATCGCGTTGACGTCCGACAGATGACAAGGGGGACCCTCGGGGCCCAACACCGCCCTGGATGTTAGCCGAGGCACCACTCTGCCACCACGTTGCTCAGAGCAACTGTAACAACAGCTAACATAGTTATCATCTGTATGAGAAGGACGGGGAAGAAGAAAAACCGCTTGACTTCACTTTTGCAAAAGAGACTGGATATTTGTCACTAGTCCTACACGAGACTCGCCACGTTCAGCTTTGCCTCTTGAGCGTCACCTAACTAGCAGTTGAAGTGCAGGTCTTCCATGGATACGACTCAAATGATTCAACCACGGGAAAGGGGGAGCGAATGAACTGGCGACAGAATGATGTCGTCGGGCCGGGCCCGAATCATGAGGTTCTTCACCCGTCGGACCTCCTCCGATACCTCCGCAATATGGAAGACCGGCACTTCTCCCCAGACTTTTCGCGATTCATGTTGCCGACCATGTTACCCTGCATCACTAACATGTTGTTACTAATTCATACGAGATTTGTGTCTGTCAATCATCAGTTCTGAATCTGGCCTGGTTGGGTGACCTCGTCGGTGGTAGCCCGAAGTGTCTGGATCCTCTCTTCCTCCGCACCCGATGTCCCTGTCTCTCAAGAGACTACCGAGATCGGACAACAATTCAAATTCAGCCTAGAAGACCATAATTGATGAGCAACCGAGAAATATCAACCAGAATCCGCGCCACCGCCCTGGACCTATTGTTCTTCCTTCTTGGGCGAGGAAAGCCTGAAAAAAACAATCAGCGAACATGAACTTCTACCCACCACCGCCTGTGATCAAAGCCGAAGTATACCTGCGTATCCCTGACGATCAGAGGTGTCTTGGCCAAGACTCGGAATGGACGGGCGGGTTTGCCAGAACCTTCCAACACATCTTCCTCGAAGGACCAGTGGTTGATGACAAAGGGAACCTCTATGTTGTCGATATACCATATGGCCGGATACTGAAGATAGATGGAGAGAAGAACGTGACGGTGTGCTGCAAATGGGATGGAGAACCAAATGGCTTGGTTGGTACTAAAGATGGAACCCTTCTGGTGGCAGACTATAAACAGGTAAGGCACTCACTGTCGACATTGTTCCAAAGCTAACTTGTGCAGGGGATCCTTGAATTCAATCCAAAAACGGGAGAGGTCAAACCAAAATTGACGAGGAAAAATCTGGAAAGATTCAAGGGGCCCAATGATCTAATAGTTGACTCGAAAGGCAATCTGTACTTCACAGACCAGGGTCAGACGAGCATCACCGACCAGACAGGCAAGGTCTACCGCTTATCACCAGATGGAAAGCTGGATACTTTGGTAGACAATGGTGTGTCTCCAAATGGACTTGTCTTGTCCTTGAACGAGCGTTTTCTGTACGTCGCCATGACCAGAGCCAACCAGGTTTGGAGGCTACCTCTCCACTCAGACGGTACCACGTCCAAGGGCGGAGTCTTCTTTACTTCGTTTGGGAATGTCGGTCCTGATGGGCTGGCTCTCGACGAGGAAGGAAATCTTTTCATTTGCCACCCCAGTTTAGGATCCATCTTTGTTGTCGATTCGGATGGTCTTCCCAAGGCCCGAATTATTAGCGGCTCGCCTGGTATCAATCTGACAAACTGCTGCTTTGGAGGACCTGAGCATAAGACTCTGTATATCACTGACAGCCTGGAGGGGAATATCCAAAAGGTCGAATGGCACTGCCGTGGCGCAGTTCCCGCTCCAAGATTAGAATAATAGGATCCTTTACTATATGAACTGCCTAGGTAATCATCAGGGCTGATTTTGAGCCGTACTATATCCATGAAACGTTCTCACATCACGATGATAGAGCCGTCAATGTACAAAACAATTCAGGGGGAAAGCGAGGATTCTCCTTTCATTTGACTTGAGGCGACCTCTAGGGTAGGGTTGTGAGAAATCTCACTCAAGATGGGGAAACCTTCATTTCTTGACCAATCACGACTCTCAAACAAACACGCGACCCCGGCACTTCATTACAGTTCATCCTTGTTGACGTTCCTCAATTGCCGATTACGACAACTAGTGCTGAGTTTAGGATTGCTTCTTCTCGGCCGGCTCTGCCGCTATACGACCCTGCAGCATCGTCGCTGACGTAGCTCTAGTTATAACTTTGCCTGTCCGTCCTCCACGTGGAAGTCTTTCTCGTTTAGCCCTCAAGCTACTATATTCAGACGCCAAACAGCCAAGATGCGCACCTCAGTCATCATCTTCACGCCCTTCCTGGCTGCCGTGGTAGCCAGTTGCAAAGCTACCAACGCAACCTGCCACTTGGTACCTTCGACCAACGCCACTGCTTCCAACTATCCCGGAGCCGACAATCAAACATTCCCATACAATGTAAACGTCCTCTCCGAAGTCCCTGTGGCAGATATCTGCACCTCCGCCACCGGCAGCGTCGCAGATGAGTTGGCCTGCGCCCGCAAGTACATCGACGCCATTGACGAGCAAATGGCTTTTCTGTATGCGCGGCGTCTCGGATATGCGGCGGTGGCGGGGCATGCAAAGTATCGCAACGGGACCGACCTAAACGACCCGAGCCGCAACCAAATTGTAGCCGATGGCATGGCACGCCGTGTGGTCAAGTACGGCGGTAGCGAAGAGGTAGGACGGGTGATGGGCGGCGAAGGCTGCCAGATCTACGCCAGTCTTATCTACGAGGCCGAGAACATCCGGGCTGTGTGTAATCCCGATTTCGAGGAGGAATTCGCCCGACCTTGCGATGCGGTCTAAGCCAAACTTTACCTTGATAGCTGTGGGACGAAACAATATGTAGACGCGAAAAAGAGGTACAAAGGCGAGCAATGCTCGTATCCTGATGCCGTGGCAAGTTAGTGTGAAGCAGTAAACTTAATTTACTGGACTCAATCTTGGAATTGAAGAGGCACTCTGTGCAATAAAGAACACTATCAATGTTACTGTTCTCGCTGTCGGGTAAATTTTTATTATTTGGAGTAAATGGTACGGCCTCCCTAGCAAGTAACTCAGAGATTCTGAACGTAGGAACCGGTCCTTTTGAAATATCAATTGATCATTTAAAACCATCGTCAAGATCATTCGTTTTCATCCATGCCCTCCTCCCAACCCGGGCACATCTGCTGACGAGGAAAGATACTGAAATGATCAGTTACGCGAACAAAAGAATTTACAACTCAGCGTAGGAGGGTTACTTGCCTATAGCGCCAGACTCCGTACCACACACCACTCCCCCACGGGCAGTCGGTGATATCCCCTGAGAGTCTGCGGTAGCACTCCTCACTAGCAAGGCTCTGAAGAGGTTCGGGGCTCGCGTCTGAGAGCTCAACTGTAATTCTCACATGCTTGTGACGGCCGAGGTTATAACATCGTTCACGGGTTGTACTTCTTCTCCAGACGCCGTGGAAGTTACTCTCGCAAGCCTTCCGGGCCACCTGGAGGGCCTCGCCCTCTTCATCGTCGTACCGTGTTCTCACTTCTTTAAGTATGTCCTTCTTACGAAAAAAGGGGAAGCAGCGGGTCCTAGGACTATGATCTGAGGGCTTGTATATCGTAGCCGAGGCCAAGCTTAGGTAGTGAAGGGCGACAAAGAGTGAAATGAAGGGCTTCATGTTGCAAGCGCAAGATGAAATGTCAAATTATTAAAAGTAAATTCGATCAATGAATAGAGAATACGTATATAGGTATTCGGGTATTGAATCAAGGTTCTGAACGGTGCGTTGAGGTCGTGTAAGGCGAGCGTCAATCTAGGTGACAGAGGGTAAAATAAATAGTGATCTGACGAGCAGCTTATCCCAATCGCAAGTGAATTATTCGTATAAGTGTTGACAGAGTTTCCTTCTACGTGGCTGCAGCTAGCAGAGCTTGTTTTTGCCTTTGCCGTCATTGTGTTGAGATATTGGGTCTAGCCACTTGCAATGCTGTTTTTCTATTTACTTTATACTGGAACTCTCATCGGATTTAGAACCACTCTGTCCTCTGAAACAGAAAACATGTTCATCTCTTTGATTCCAAAAGGCTTGTATTTTGAGAATCTATTGAGAGAGCTCATAACCGTTCTCGGCCCAATCCATCCTCTGCCAGAATCAAAATTCCTAGTCTGTTTCCCATTTACTTTTCGTTTGCATAAGGTACGTTGCTGTTGATCTCCATGACCCTTTCTCCACTCTTCCTTGAATGAAACAGGGATAGCAAATGATGGGAGAGTCAACCATGGGCTTGTGCCTCATTCTAGCTCCCCAACCGATGAACGCTTGTAGGCGAGAGGTATGATCAACACAGGCCGATACCGATACCTGAAGGAATGTTGCAGAAAAGACTTTTGTCGCCTTCGAAAAAAATCCAAGTCGCGTTTCAAAATTATTTCTCTGATGTTGAAATACCAATGACTTGATAGATAGCATGCTGTGAACGCATAAGCGTCGGGTGGTCAAGTCGCCCGACTGAGACACCCTCGTCAGCCTCAATCTAGGCCGTTTCCGAACGCCGAATCGGTGTCTCAAACATTTCGCCGAACCGGCCAATGAGTATCAAAATAAACAACGCTGGAGGAGGGGAGAGCACCCAAGCTTGCTGCGTGAGTCGGTGATTAGGCTTCAAGGGGTAAACTTTAAAGAGGCTGCCGGATCCGTCGTGTAACGCACTGTAGAACTCAGGCTGACCCGACCTCCTCTTGTCAACGAATGATTTCAGCGTCTACAAGCAATCATGAAGACGGCAATATCACTGCCACTGGCTGTTTTGTACTTGGCTAGCTACTCGATCGCATTTCCGGTCGTGAATAGAGATGTGTCACATTTTACACGGTTGATAGTGTTTGGTGACAGCTTCAGCGACAATGGTAACGGATCATGGGTGGTAAGCAATGCAACATGGCCGTCGGACCCTTCATACTTTGCGCATTCTTTCTCGTAGGTGTCCGTTTATGCCATTCATCTAGGTTCCAACTCTAACGGGTGCCATAGAGATGGGCCAGTGTGGAACGAGCGCGTTGCGGACGCCCTTGGTCTTGAGCTTGTTAACATCGCGACTGGCGGAGCCACCACAAACAACGGTTTCGTTCAAGGACGGACAGGCCCAAAGTCGGAAATCCCCGTGCCTTCTACGGCTGAACAAATCGCGTCATTCTTGTCATGGGATGCGCCCAGACCTGGAGATGTGTTCGTTCATTGGTCAGGCGTCAATGAGATTCTCTTCAACCCCAATGTTACTGGTTCGCAGACGACGAGCTTAATCAACGAGAATATCGGGATATTGTATCGTGCTGGTACGTTGTCAAACTCCTCCCTTGTCGATCCAATCTATACTCACAGGCGTGATAGGGGCTAGAAACATCGTTCTGGGCAATTACAACGATATTGACACATTTCCAGGGACGTACAATGTTTCTGACTATCAAACTGATAATGTCAAGTCCTATATGAATGATCTCAGCATTGGGCTTAGGAACATTGTAGGTGCATACTCTGCTTATGCGAACACGGCGTTGGTTGAGACACAAACGTTGTTTCGCAAAATTGCAGCCAACCCTGCAGAGTACAGGATTGATGAGAAGTATGTGAACCCACCAACTGCGTGCCTGCAAGGGGCGTATGGCAGCCAAGAACGTTCCCTTTGCAGTGACCCAGAACGCCACCTATTCTTCGATTCCTACCATCCGGTAAAAGAAGTACATGCAGCTATTGGGAAGTTGGTAGAAGATAGAATTAGGGCTCTTAATAGCCAAAGATGATCTATAATCACAATTGTAATCTTCGCAGTTTGCGGTCAAGTCACACTTCGTCTTTCCTACGTTCATTGACTGGAAGCTTGCTTTTCGGCTTTCCGAGCAGCCATGAGAATCTCTTCAAAAGGTTAGACCCATTAAAGCTCTATCTACAGTATCAGTGACAGCCCGTCGTTGAGAATACCCCGGCTAGATATAATACTAACAAAGGTCGATAAATATAGCTGAATCTGGGCATAATCTCACCACATCTAGCAATCATTTGAATTCGATATGGATTGGATTCGGTATATGACCTAGTAAAAGCGGAAGAAGCACGAAATCAAGTGACTTAATGATTGCACATAGCTGATGTTTCAGGAGCATAATATAAGAAAGCCCATGACTTTCTAGAAACGAAGACTATGATTATGTTCGCAAAACATACAAGAGAAAATGTCAACTTTTATTAATTTGATGAGGTCTGCAATCATTTCATGCTGCTACATATTTCTGACACAGCGGCCAAGCTGAAAATTGAGATTAGTCAGGACCGTTGCTGAGCTTGATGGCCCCTATTGAGATGAACGCACCTATACCTCAACATCTGCTATATGAAACTACTTCTTCGCTCCATGCATGGTAACCATCATCGCTTCAGAGTTTTTTAAAGGCTACAATACGTTCCGGACACCCAAAAATAACTACACCCAAACCGCCCATGCCTTGGCTCGGGTCCGTGGGAAACAGCTACCTAATAAGTTTCCACCTCTTACTTTACATTGATCAGTCGAAAGACATCTAAATTTATGAAAACAGTGTCGGTGCGCAATGGTGATGAAACGGCTGGAATATGCCTACTGGTACTGGATGGACAAGGACGACTGGATTGTTATAGTCAGCAATTGGTGTCAATGGAAACTACCGGCAGTAGATGGTTGTCAGTGACGAATCTTTAGGAGATAATGATAAGACTATCTCCCTTGTGGAACAGATCTACACATATTTCCACAGATGTTTTCTCGAATCTCGATTGAGGCTTGATCTGGGCGCCATGATCGACTTCTTGCATCTAAAAACGCCTTCATGTCGGTCATGGGACTTGGAACAATGGTATTTCGTCATTGTGTGGCTAGTATTTAGTTCATGAGCGTACTATTGGCTTGTTGCCGGCGCTAACAATACCGAAGTGGTGGCATGGCTGAACTGTAATGGTCATCGGATCACTCGGGACCGTAGACGGAAAACCTGGACGCCCTCATTCATCATATAATCTTAAGAGTTTGGGTATTTGGCATCTTTATGGAGGCGTGAAGAGGACCGTATTTGGCCACTTGAGGGGCCTTCCATCACCAGGCCTAAGCATGATAAAGGGTCGCATTTACAGAACATGATGATATGTTTCCCGCAGGATTTCCATCATTGTCCCGTATTGATTGAGACCGTGTATTCTTCTGCAAGCCGCCCTTCGCGAGACGCATCCGAATTGCCGACACTCCCTCAACAGGTGTGCTAAGACGGATCACAAGGTCCGTAGGCTCCATTCTTCCCTGTTATAGTTCAGGACGATCATGAGGGGGTTGAGACTTCAAGACGTCATTGAAAGCACCGGAAGATTAGGATGATCCATCAGATGGGTTGTATATATGTGTCGACCTCATAACCAACTATGGTTCCGTAACTAATCTGAACGTTGTCTGTCACATCTATGTAAATCGACACCGAGCCATATTATACGTATCTTCAGTCCCGAATCTCACTACAGTATTCACGATGGTTTTCGGAAGACGTCGCGCCGTGGATCCCGCTGATACCACTGGTCGAACTCGTCGGAGCCCTCTACGACCACTGGTTTCCTTGAACCATTTCATGATTTTTATTTGTGCCACAATCGTCACCGGCATTGCCGCATACTTTGTCCATCTGGAACCTAAGCCGCACAGTACACACATTATCTATCAGTTGGTCATCGTAAGTATCTTTTGTTGGTCGCGGATCACGACCTTATAGGAGTTGAACTAACCGCCTGCTTCAAGGCTGTAATCACGCTCATCCTTTATGCTATTTCATCAATCTTGCCGTTCATCAACAGATACCGTGGCCATTTCATGCCTGTTAATCTCATTCTTTCCTATTTGTGGCTCACCTCGTTCATCTTCGCCAGCCAGGATTGGGCTGGTCGAAGATGTCTGAGATTTTCGACGGTCGCAGGGAGGTGTGGTCTAAAAAAGACCATGATTGCGTTCGACTTCCTCGCGCTGTAAGTATCTGTCCATATGGAGGCTGGTCTATCCTAACCTCTCCCTAGATTCTTCTTGATGTGCAATGTCGTCGCCGAAGGTTTCCTCTTGCGTCAAGAGCGGGCTGGGGCGACTGTAGACCCGGTCCACGAGCCAAAACATCGCCCGGATACGGCAACAACTGCCAATACTACAAACGTCGTCTAAGACAACCAGTAGCTCTATGGCTTATTACAAGCCAGATTTGAGAGTACTCAAAATCTCTAAGTCATGAGATATGGCGGGCAAGGGGGATGTCAGATTACGGAAGCAATTGGGCCGGAAATTGGAACTGAAATGGAGTCAAGTTTAAACCTGGATATCACCCCATCTTGTATTATTATACCTTTTTGCCATTTTCCCCTTCGGATTTCTTAATATTCTAGTTCAAATTGAATGATACATATTCCTTTACAAGGAAGATCCTTCATATGATTATTGCATCTCTTAATTTGATAAGTTCTTAGGGGCTTGTATATAAGATCCCGCCTACGTTGTCCCCAGTCCTACCCAAACATCCCATGGGCTTCGCTAAACAAACAGAGGTTCGCAAAGAGTTGCACCAAAATTCATGCAAAACACCAGCATTGGAGTCATCCGTCGAGCCAATAATAATTGGGATGCCTTCTGACTAACCCCGTATAAGCTCGTGTTGAATACGATGACTCATTCGGCCAACGTTAACATCTCATGATGATGAGGGCCAAATAAATAACTCGCGGATGAATGATAAGTTTTAACGCCTCTGTTCGTGAAATAATCACATCATTCACGAAGTTGGAACTTTCCACAAATGCTTGAGACGATTTCTATACAACCCTTGCCTGGGAGGAGGCTTAGGCCTCAGAAGCTCGGACTTCTTCACGTGCCCCGTGAGGTTCAGCTCCTCATGTATGAATTCGCACTCATCGAGTGCCCCAAGTGGGAGAAAGGTCACAAACCAGGGTGTCGGTATAAGCCGAATGATATTCATTGCACCGAGATCCCCCCATTCCTCAACCTTTCCATCAATATATGGCAGACTTTGGAAGGAGAATTTAAGCAAAACATCGGCAATCACTGCAACTGTGCGAAGCGCGATGGACTCGGTCTCTTAGGTGTGAATCGTGAGATACATAATCTCGCCGCCCCGATTTTCTGGTCGCAAAACACCTTTTGCTTCCTCGACGCCATGGAGTTTCTTGCTACTGTTGGCCATAGGCTGCGAGACGAATGCCGCAACCACCTTCGATCAATCAGCATCTTGAACCCGGACGCGACCGGCTTCTCAAACCATGTTTCCCTTCCGTATAGCCTATCACGGAGCAAGGCTAATATGCAAGCATTCTGGTCGACTGTGAGAAAATGCAAACAACTTGCTAAGCTGGAGCTGCCACCGCCATATATCAAGCCCGCGTTATTCAGCATCGATCAGTGGGGTCTTCTCGCAGAGCATCTGACGGAGCTCAGAACTGTTCGATTTAGCTACCTTCTTCCATATACTAACGTGGACTGCGGCTGGGGCCGTCCTTCTCATTTCAGATACTTTAACCCGTCTTGTAGATACCCTGGGCAGCAGGATGTGTTTGTCCGGTGCTCAAGGACAGTGCCTCTCAGGCAGGAAGATTGGACGTCAGAAGCAGCAACCGAATTTTACAGGGAAATGGAGCTCAATTTTAAGATCCACGTCGACACGATTGTAAAGACCAAGTTTCTGAATGCCGACCCGGAACGCTTAGCCAATTACCAAAACACATTCAAACTCCTACCCAGTTTAGACGAACATCACCGCACCCATCGCATCACGTTACCAATTGGAGAAAAAACAGCCATCAAGTTTTACGGACTTCCTATTAGCAAGAAGACGAGGATACAGCAAGCTCGGAAAAGGCAGGCACTGGACCGGACACAAAGGCTCAAGAACGGATTGACCCAGTCACAGTTCGAGGAGCAACAAGAACGCAAGAACCAACTCAAAGAGCAGGAAGAACGGAAGGAGATGAGAGAACGCGATGATGCTCTGGTGGAGAGGCGGATGCGGCGCATCCAGATACATGATGCTGAGGCGGCTACAGTGAAGAAGCAGAAGAAGAAAGTTAGGAAAGAGGACGCAAAGAGAAAAGAGCAGAGGAAGCTAGAGAGGAAGCGGGCGAGTTGATCCAACTCTTTTCTAATTCAACGCCCCCCTTTTACGTCGACTCAAGAACCGTGTTTTACTTATAAAGACGGATGCTTGAACATTATCTCGAGACTCAACCTTGCTATAGAACGAATGATTTATCCCTAACTCTCGACGTCCATGACTTCTCCGGTTAGCGGAGGACACCACAAGCTAGTAAGTGACCGGCCACACCGAAGGCACATTTTGCGCCATCAAACAATACGCTGAGGTTCCAAGGGGAGGAGGGACTTGTACTGTATCGATTCATATCGAAGAGACATTTTTTGCAGTTAAGCAATCGCTTGGTAGGTCCACCTGACGGGGCTGAGTTGCATCAGTGGATATGATCCCAAAAGTCCCACGAGGCATTGGCTACCACTTCCGCTCAGAACTTGTTGGCAAAGCTTATGCCCAAAAACGATATTGATGACATGGCAAGTCAGCCTAGGTGACCGCCCTATAGGTGGGGTGGTTCGCAATCATACGTTGCCCTCTGGTGCGCCTCACCCCTCTTATTAGGTAGACAAAGGCCCCCCTTCACTTCATTGTGGCAACTTCTCTCCCCGAATTTGATATTCGTGAAGTCCTTACACATTTAAATCATTCAGGCTCGAGACACTCCGTGTCGCATCTGAACGCAGACAATGGACCAAGCTGGCAATGTCCTCTGTGACAAATGTCAGCGGATTCAGATTGATGACAGAGTGCTCAGCGATTATATTCGCAGACTCCCAGATGGTAGCAAGTATTCCGACAAAACCGGGAAATCGGAAGAGATTCTCGTTCCAATAGCCAGTTGGACTGACTATCCGCCCGAGTTGCCTAAGTTACAGGAGTCGCATGTCAAGACAGGTTGCATATTCTGCAAATACCTTCGGGAGGCAATTCTACTTTCCAAGGTTGAGTTCCAGGGATCCCCTATACATATCGATCTTTCACATAACTGGTTCAACGATGCAATCTTTCTGGGCAAGGGTGATATAACTCGGGATTGCAATTATTCCGGTATAGTAGGGCATGTTACAGACGGAGAAGCGAAGTATGGCATATACTTCAGCCCTGCGTCCGACGATTGTAGGCAAGCATCCATTTCATCTCTAGGCGGTTTTTCTAACGTTGAATAGTTCAAATATCCCAATTATTAGGCATATATAGCACCCCAAAGCCGATGGCTCTATGTGAAGAGAATGTCTCGTGGGCCACAAACCTCCTCGAAAACTTGGACCATACTTCAGCTGCGCAGGATCCTGATCATGGGGTTCTTCCGACCAGGCTACTTGACATCGGAGAAACCGGCACATTAAATCCCCGTCTAGTATCAACATCAAAAGAAACAGTACCGATATCATATTGTGCCCTCAGCTACTGCTGGGGTCCTCTTCCACAGCTAACGACAACTAAGTCGACTTTCCAACAATATTCGTTACAAGGCATCCCCTTCCAGGAGTTGACGAAAGTTTTCAAAGATGCCATTGAAGTTTGCCATACGTTTGGGATTCGGTACCTTTGGATAGATTCTCTGTGTATCATCCAAGATGACCCAAGTGATTGGGAAAGAGAGACGACAATGATGCACCAAGTTTACCGCAATTCATATTTCACCATATGTGCATTATCTTCCGACTCAACCCATGTCAGCTTTTTACAGAGGAATCAGCATAGGCTTGAGCTGAACTTTATATCATCGTTAGATCCGGCAATTTCGGGGAAATTCACCTTGGAATTCCAAGGATTTTCACGTGAAGATGCTTTGCCGACCCTTTATAGAGTCGAACTCTTCTTTAATGAATGGTCCACACGGGGTTGGACATTTCAGGAAGATGAGATGTCTAAGAGAGCGCTTTATTTCACGAAATCACAGTTGTTTTTTAGGACTGGAGATCAATACTTCACCGAAGATGGATGGAGCTCTACGTCATTCAGACCTACGCTCAGGACAAGTCCAACGCTCGAAAATTGGTATGGAAAAATGCTTGGGTTCCGGAAGAAAAAGTTTGCCAACGCACAAGACGTATTCCCGTCTCTTTCGGGCATCGTGAGAGAGTACATCAGATACCATGGCGATACATATGTCGCTGGACATTGGAAAAGTGACTTTCTCCGAGGGTTGCTTTGGCATTCCGTAACTTATGGACTGGAGGAAGGTCGAGAGACTCTCTTGAGAAACCTATCATTTCCTCGTCAGTACATCGCTCCCTCGTGGAGCTATCTAAGCAGGACTGAACCTGGAGAACACGGTATCAATTTCCATCAGATCCATCAGCGAAGAGAGGGGCACTTCCGCAGCATGGTCGAAAGTGCGGATGCCTGGACGACGCCTGCCGGACAAGATCCTTATGGAAGAATTCTCGGAGGAACGGCACGTATCAGGGGGAAGGTTATCACATGTCCGTCCGATTTGTCAAAGATACATGATGACATCTTCAGAACCAGTGACATCTTCCAAATTCGTGTTGATGGGGCATATGCTGCTACCTGCCAACTGGATTGGCCGGTCAACGGTGATTGGGAATCCAGCCAAGACTTGTCCCTGCTGTTCCTTGCAAGCACTTGTCACCGTTGGCAAGATGGTCGTCCCACAACTCATTATCTTGGTAAGCAAGGCAACAAAGATGAAAGCGGAGGCAGCGAGAGCAGTAGCAATGATAGAAGCGGCAGAAGCGATAGCAGTCAAGTTGGAGAGTCAACCCAAGGAGAACACGGCGGTAGCGAGCAGCAACCATTTGCTATTGAAGAGTCCACCGGGTCATTAGAGTTACTAAGTATCAAAGAACCGGTCGCATCAGAAATCGAAAACAAAGAAAACGAAGGGATAAGCCGTTGCTGCGAGTCGGGTTGCGCCGGGAGCAGTCCTCAACTTACGGGTGATAAAACCGGTAAGTGTAATCCCTACGAATCATTTTCTGCATGCAAAAAGTAGAAGGGACTGACACGAAGTTCATATAGACTCCGACTTGTCGTCCAGCGAGACCTCGCATGAGCTTTGCCCTGTTTGCGGCCACTGCATGAAATGCTGCACAAGTGAAGTTAATCGCCATGCGTGGGGCCTGATTATCCATCCAGCACTGGAGCCGGGTAAATATTTTAGGGTTGGGGTCTTCACCTCACGGTCGGATGGCCCTGGAAGCAACTGCGGTACTCGTTTGTTCGATCAAGCAGACCATCAGGAGATTGATATCATCTGAGGCAGGACCAGTCAACCAAGGAGGTGTCAACCATTTATTAGGTCTTTTAATTGGGATATTCGCTGAGCTGCCTTATGCAAGTTCCTAGTTGTTGATTTTTCCTAGACTTTTTGGAGGTGTCTCTGTTGTTTATTCGAAGGAATTTTCTTGGTTCATTTCAATTACCAGGTTGAGATCTTTTCATATCAATTCCCATACCTTCCATAGCTTTTTTGTCTCGCTGTCATTTCAGAAACGTTAAATCCATGAGCAACTATCCAGCCGCTATTCTCCTTCTCTTGGCGATCAGTTGTGTTACTTATTCAGCGTTCTCGTGCTATAGGTGTTTTAGCTCCGTCAGTACTTCCGTCAGAGGATGTTGAATCCTTCCCTCTTCCCCGTCCAATCCAATTTAGGAAGAGAGTGAAAGTTCTTCCTCAGCTGCTGAATCCTACCTAGTTGTGGCTGTGCTCCACCAAAAATAAACTACCAGACGGTGTCTTCCCTAATAAGCTCTAACAACGGCTGAAATCAGGGGCTCGGATACGAAGCACCCTGCCAATGTTATGTAAGACCTGGTTTTGTTAAGATTGAGGTGGCCCCCTTCCGAACGTCCCCCACCATCCTTCCTTTTTCCCGCGTTCAGTCACGCGAAAGACCTCTTATGTACGTCCCAGCCTTGCAGGTTTCCGGGCCATAAGGCTGTGATCGGCGATGTGAGCCTAGTTGGGATGGGCTACCACGGGAACAAACTGTCCGCTATTGGCCTTGCCTTTACCAGTCTTGCGCTCTTCATCGCGCTCATCAATGGCGCCGTTTCAGTTCTTAAGTTGGGCAAGCTGGGCCCTCAAGGCCAGATCAGTGCCCGGTGGATCCGTGCAACTGCGATTTTGGTCATCATGTGAGTCCTGGCGCGACCCTGAAGTAGCCCAGCTCAACCTAGATAGCTAACCATGCCTCTCGACAGATATCTAATCCTCTCTCTTGCAGTGGAGGCCTTTTTACTTGTAACTCCCCCGCGGGACAAGCGTCCGGGGCATGAGGGAACCAACAAAGCGGTTTCCGAGCTTCCGGAGGTCACAGAGCTGCTGGTCAATCTGACGCAAGCAGCCATTCTCATGACCCAGTTCAAACTCACCTTCGATCTCTATTCTACCGGAAGCAAGGCGACGAAGCTCACGACTGTCATTCTTTTCATCGTCTCTCAATCGCTAAATCTTACACGCTTTATTGCATTTCACGTCGCTCTGTACGACAGTAATGATTACGGCCTATCTGAATCTATCCCGGGGTATGTCTATGCGGTCTATGTCCCGGCCCTGATAATGGAGGTCGTGCTGTTCTCAACGTCCGCAATGTCCGTCGCTGTCATTGTGAGATATTGGACAGACTTTGGCGCAACGCCGAATGAGACGGTAAGTTGATCGCGTGACCTCCATGAGAATACATCCTCTGACAACCTCACAGGCACCCGGTTTGCTCTTTGCCGCGAGTGCATTCTCCCTACTGCGTCATACCTGGAAAGTAATCACCAGCGGCATCTCACAGATTACCTCGATGAAGGGCATACCCGGGCCATCGGTATTCCCAATGTGGTTCTTTTTGATCGAGAGGGTGCTTACACATTGGGATAATGTCATCGTCATCACACTTCTCTTCTGCTCTGCACTATCGGGGCTACGAAAGCTGAATTCTGGACGAGCATCGCCAGTGAGCGACGTAGATGGACCTATCGAGCTTATCAACACTGCGGATGATTCACGCCCTGTTGAGCAGAACCATGTTTGGCGGTAGCCATTCTGTGACTAGGCTAGAGAAATAATTCGAGCTTGATATTCCAAGACCTTACTGTAATCCACTATAATAATATATTGTACCATGCCATTATTGACCTATTCACCGTAGTTCAAGATGCATGCCCATATGATACCAAAAAGTGCCCTACTGTTATGTGGTTTGATCAAAGCCTTATCTTTTACCTGCTAGAAACCCCTTGATAGTGTTTCCAGTCAACTTGGCAACATCATTGTCGTACTTATCCCATGCCAAAGAACAATACCAATTGATGCTGCCTACACTGAAGACTGCACCGCCTCCGGATCCGACGTAATAGACGACATCGCTACGAATAAGACTCGTCTGTGTTCCCAGTGTGTTCAATGCGGGATAGCTGAGGTCCTCGATAGCAATGCCAAAATCATCACTGTGACCTGTGCTTGTGGCCAACACCAAAGCATCCTTGGGGCTGCCATTTATCACATCATACCGATCGATTTCGTCACCAGAGGCGCCTCCCCCAAAGCCATGCTCTCCAATGAGATCCCCCTCTATACCATTGAACATCCATGAGAGGTTCTGATCCCTCGAGGCTCCAGTAAGCCTGTACGGTACACCCAGTCCGGTTCCTTGGGCGCAAAAGCCTACTCCGAACAGTGTGTTGCAGCTCATACCTCGGGATCTCCACAGACCCCCTCTCTGCCCATCGAGACTATTGACGTGCTCGCCCCCAGGTAAACTATAAGGCCGCACTCCTGTATCGCCTCGACGGACTTCCAATCGATGCGGACGACCATCGTCGAGACCGCTCACCCAGTAGAAGCCATTACCACCCATATACATCAGATTGCCGCCACTTCTTGAGAAGGCGTTGTAGGCGTTATAAGATTTGAGAGTAGGATATTCGGGGTGCGAGCCCGTGATGACCGTATTGAAACCTTGCAGTGCCGCGGCTCCACGGATATGTAGGTCATGATCCGTTACAATCTCATAAGGGATCCCCTGCTGCTCTAGAAATCCGAGCATCATAAGATCTGCGGAGAACTCGCGCGGGCGGGAAAACGCCCACATTATATAACTAGGACGGAGGTTCAGAATGGGACGTTTAGCGGAGGAGTAGCAGACACCAGAACCATCGTTGTGTCGGTCATAACAAGACAGGCCCAAGTCACCACGGCGGCGCATCTTATCAAACTCTGCGCTCTTCAAACACTTGTTGATATCAAACCCCGGCCCAAGATCGGCAGTGTTCTGGCGGGTCGTGTCATATAATCGTTCGTTGGCGTAGGCTAGGTACGTGAATGTTGAGAAGACCAGACAGACTTTGTTAGAATTATCCGCTGTCCAGGAATTTGGCCTTACGAAGAAGGTGATGGAATCCTTGTCTAGGCCGTTGACCGTTTCTACCTCGACCGCGTATGCACCAGATCGAGCTGTACAGGGAATGGTGATAACAAAATCAGTGTCCCATTGAGCATCATCCATGTCGTCGTCATGAAAGTGGATGGCACCGTAGCCATATTTTGCTCGGGTCCAGTCACTTTCTGAGCCGTCCCAATCGTGACCTTTAACGGCACGAGTTGGCGCGTTGACCAATACACCATGATGAGCTCGGCCAGAAACATCAACAATCTGGTCGCTCGACATGTTCAGAGAGAAGTCGTATTCAACGAGGACCAGAGGTTTCTGGTCGTGTGTTTTTAACGTCAAGCGGTCAATGCGGCCATTGAAAACCTCGGTGACATACGGTCCTTGGCTACCTGAACCGCTGCGAGAGGATATGGCCTTAGTTGCTGCAATTAACAGAGGATTCGGACTTGATACCGTCGTTGTCTTATCCAGTATTTGCTCGAATACCTCAGGGGGAGGTACTGGCTCGACTCTGAAAGGTAGATGCACTGAGTTGACCTGGAGTCTCTGACCCGTGAATAGAACCTTGACCTTCGACCAGCATTTATTCTGGACTCTCAGCTCAGTGCAGATGACATCGACTCCCTGCTTCGTCCCAATATGAACATCCAATGAACCACTAGTGTTCAAAGTAATGGAGAAGCCAGTATATGTGATGGGATCCAAAGTGGAAATGAGAGCTTGTGCATGAGAACATTCCACCATCCACGGCTGCATATAGAATGAAACTTGAAGGCCTTCTTCCTTATTTGGAGCGCCCCAGTTGGGGATGCTCCCGTATGAACCTTGTTGGGCTGTCTGAAATCTTCCCTTCTGATGACCACGAGGGATCTCTAGGACTTCTTCCTCTGCTTTCTCTGGAGAGTGATCAATGTCGATACCTTGAATCAAGCGAACTGTACGATAGTTATACTCGGACTCGGTGCATGATATCTGCATATATTAGCTTGATTTTATCTTGTGCCGTGGGTACAGGTGAGAGTTCGAGTATAAGGTTAAGAAAAGCAATGAACAATTCCAGACCCAACAACTCAACACAATGAGTAGTGCCGTCACTTGTTATATTTTTTACAAAGCCACTAGGAACAGGAATCTAGCAAGCGAGGATTGCGTCATCTGAGGGAAGTAGCTTACTTTAATTGCAACCGAATCCCCAGGTGCGGCTATCCAAGGCTCTGCGTACCCAACTATCTCTGGCGGGTAGCTGCCACTGTCCGCATTGATAGCCGCCATTTGCGAAATTGATAAGCCAAGATAGAAGAATGTTTAAACGTTCCAAGTCTTCGACAGTGGTCGAGAAAGAAAAGCTGATGATATTTGGGAACAAGTGAGAGTGGTTTCCCGTCATGTTAAATAGCTTGCTTGGCATTTAAACAAACCACACCAAAAGTCTTAATTAGGGGTTAAGTAACACAAATCGTATCATGCGGAGACTATTACATATCTTGCTAATGATAGCTCGGATGTAGAGGCATTTGGCTGTAGTTTGCCGCAAAGGGAAGTTGCTCTGACCATATATGGAGTTACGCCATATACCTTTCTGAATCCTGATGAGATTACCCCTACTCCCATGCACATACTCAGCAGTGAAGAGCATGGGATGACCGTGTTTGAGTGTGTTTGAGGGACATGCATGATCGATGTGAGTGCCATTAATGGTATCTTCATCCTAGGGAAGAAGCATCGTCTCGATATGATCTAGAATCGTACCTACTTGAAGAACTACAGTTGGCGCTTGGTCTTCGGGCAACAATGAGGTGCCCTCTTAATCTATCTATCAACAACGAATGAGTCTAGGCAACAGAGTTACTGCCATTATTGGTCAGCCGGTCCATCGGATATTGCCAGGCTATATTCAGTAATTCCCTATTGAGGCATGACTCACACCTAACGTTACATCACAATACATCAGACGCAATGCCAAGTTTTCTTTATTGCCAGAAATGGCATTTAGCATCATATGCGGCTTACTTTCTCTACTGTGTGCAGATAACATCTTCGCTGACCCAGAACACCGCTTAAGTTGAGCTGCTTCAGATGTCAGTTATCATCTCAATACTATCAAATACTTTCAGTGTCTCTATAGGACTTCACTATTTTTCCATCTCAACTTTCACCATGACTTCCTCAGGACTTCCGCTAAGCGTTGCTGCTTCGCTGCAAAACTCAAAGGCCGAGTACCGCCGGCTCGGGAACTCTGGTCTCCACGTTTCGGTTCCGATCATGGGCTGCATGTCAATTGGAAACCGCGAATGGGCCGATTGGGTCATAGATGCCGAGAAAGCTCTGCCACTGCTTAAGGCCGCTTACGACAGAGGCGTGAATACTGTAAAAGGCCCCAATACACACCCTCAACTGCGTCTATCGCTCGCTTACTGAAGCTGAAACAGTGGGATACGGCGAACGTATATTCTAATGGCGACAGTGAGAGAATCATTGGGCGAGCTATCAAAGAGTATGAAATTCCTCGTCAGAAGTTGGTCCTCATGACAAAAGCTTGGGGTGTTACGGGAGAGGAGCAATTCGCAGCGTACCCGATCATGGATGAGCTGAGGAAGAGTAAAGATTATGTTAATCAGTTTGGTATGCTCCACATCCTTCTTGCTCTAGACTTTGTCTCTTCCAGATGTATGTTCATTCGCAAGCATTATTCTTACACCATCTAGGGCTTTCGCGGATTTCTCTCATCAACGCTGTAGAGGGTGCCCTTGCTCGTCTCGGAACAACATATATTGATTTGTTCTGGATTCACCGCTTTGATCTTTACACGCCCATTGAAGAAACCATGGAGACATTGCACAATCTTGTCGTCGCTGGCAAGATCCGCTACATTGGCGCGTCGAGTATGTGGACTTATCAGTTCGCCATGATGCAGTTCTGCGCCGAGAAGCATGGATGGACCAAGTTTATTGCTATGCAAAACCACTACAGCCTTCTTTATCGAGAGGAAGAAAGAGAAATGCACAGGTTCTGTGCTGCAACAGGCGTGGCACTATGCCCTTGGGGTCCACTGGCTCAAGGGAATCTCGCTCGCCCCATCTCTGTTCGGGGAAGCACGCTTCGTTCAGCTAATGGCGGCGGAGATCCTTCAACTACTCGCAAGGAGTCTCTCGCTATAATTGAGCGGGTGCAAAAACTGGCTGAACAGAAAGGATGGACGATGAGTCAAGTGACACTAGCATGGACTCTGAGGAGAGTTTGCAGCCCGGTTATCGGTTTCAGCACGGTGGATCGAATTGACGATGCATTGAGTGCTCGAGGGAAAGAGTTGACTCCCGATGATGAGAAATTCTTGGAAGAGTTATACACTCCATTGGAAATCGAAGGACACTACTAAGAATTGAAAGTTCACGTGAGAGCCAGGTATGCAAGATAATACTATAACAATAAGCCACATATATACCTTGACATATATTCGACTTGATCATTTAGGTCCTCATTTTTCAAAACTTAGAAAAGCATTTTCTATTTCTGCCTGATGTGCACCAAGTCAAGCGCAAGTCGACTACCCTATACCCATTATTAATGTTACACATTATCTTTTCAAGGGAATGGGATCTATTTTTATTCAGGCTATTTAGACACATTGACTTCTTCTTTAAGGGGGAATAAATATCGATGGGTTTTCCAAGTTCCCAAACAGGTAGTATCGCAATTCCAATTACTAAATACCGCCTCATTTTGCCGAACCATGTAATATCCCCTGTGCCAAAAGGGTGGTTAGTAATTTGAGTGCCGACTGAGTAATACCCAAATCAGGTGAGACTTCGAATCCTTCTTGAAAACGCACAAATTATATTTGCCTTCAAACCAGAGTATCTCGCTGTACCATACAGTTCAAGGCCATACTGAAACCAAAGAGTATCAAGGATGGCGCTCAAATTGCGGCCTGCAGCATTGTCTGACGTCGAGCGACTAACCGACGTTTTCTTCTCCGGTTTCAAAAAGGATGCTGTGATGGCACTCTGCTTTCCCGAGAAGCCAGAAGTTCGCAAGTTCTGGATCGAGGGCCTCAAGGAAGCAATCAACGACCCAGATGTTCACCTCGTCGCCGTGGTTGCTACCGAGCTCCCTGGCGAGCCGGTTATCGCCTATGCAAACTGGGTCAGCCCCAACAGCAAGGCCAATTCGACGCGACCCCTGTATCCTGATGCAGGAGACGACAAAGCACTGGCCGCTTTTTACTTCCCATATTTGCAAGCGCAAAGGATGAAGAACATGGCGGGACGAAACTGTTGGTACCTGGCTGCTCTTGTCTGTCATGAAGACTACCAGGGCAAGGGAGCTGGCGGTTTGTTGCTGCGATATGGTTTGAACCGCGCGGATGAAATGGGTGCAGATGTTTATCTGGAAGCTAGTCCTCCCGGTGTGCCAATATACAAGCGCTTTGGCTTCAAGGAGATTGACAGGGTTGTTGTGCTGGATGGACAGTTCACAGAGCTATTAATGTTGCGAGAATCCCCGTCGCATACACCAGGCAAAGCATAAACCACATATTCTTCGACGAGTTCATCTCTGTATTCTTTCACCTACTGCTGGGGCTAGAGGCTTGGTAATGACGAGATATCGAGTCCCTTCTGTTAGCACAACTTGCACAAGTAAAATGCAAATACATTCAGGTTGGCTGATCACGCCACTTTCCCTATCGGGTGAGCCGTACAATTTTATGCATGATAAAGAAGATATTTTATGACATCACCTTCACCCCCTGACTTCTCTGACTTCTCTGACCCCTCTGACCCCTCCCTAGTGCAAATTAGCCCGCTACAGGCCGCTAAGGCCACTGGGAGGTATATTAGTCAGCAGCAGTCCGGCAGCAGCCCGGTGGCCCAGCCAGCTACCCTAAGCCTCAGGAAATCTACTATGTAGGAAAACCTCACCTAAAATTAGAAATATCATGTATATCAAACTGTTCGAACAAATGCTTCTTGAACCTGATTTGCTTGATCTGCGAAGGTTTTTCGTTTGACCTACGTCGGATTTCGTTTGTTTGAGATGACGGTTTGACTGGATGCGCTGCCCTGATATTAATGGGTTGACTCCTACGTTTTGCTAAAATAAATTGCAGAAATGTTAGATACAAATTTCATTCAAGGATATCTAGCGTTGACTGCTATTAAATTTAATAGCATGGAACGGGGAAAATAGAAAGGACTCCTCATTATTTTATTAACATTTAGCTAGAGCCGAGACTCATTCGGTTTCTTTTCTAGGGTATGCTCTGGGAGCAATGTTGCTCGTTTGGCACATATATATATATGCACGTTTATCGGTTTTCAGCAATTTTTTCCCCAAGCTCCCTGAATCTCATTATAGCGATTTCCAATGCTTCCCCATCAGCTCCTGGGCTGTCAATGGCTTAATATCGGGGGATTTCTCATTCAAAGAACCCTCAGTAGAGATGGACGCGAGACCCTCCGCCATCCACCGATGGAGAATGGACAGGAATACAAACAATACCTCCCTGGGGTATTCCTTGTAGCCATTCTCATGTCCGGGAAGCTCAGGAATCTGAAATTCCTTAAGAGTCTCCAGGGAATGATATTTGACATCAAACCTCTTCCTTGCGGCATCTTCTGCCAAGTCAACGAGATGGTTGACGGTCAGCGTCTCCCCAACGACGCGATTCTCGCGCGGACACTCGGGCATTTCAAGAGCCGCTACAAAAAAACGTGCAACATCAAAAGTAGATATTAGGGTGATGAGCTCGTGGCCAGTGCCCGGAATTCTTGCCTTCACATGCGGGTGTATATTATTACCAGCGAAAACTCACCTACCCTATACCCTAGGATTACTATAAAACCCACCTGTAACTATATATAGATCCTTCGTGCAACATTCCCTATTCGGGTCCCTGTTAAGACACCAATTGAGGATCTTGCCCATGACGCCCGTTCCTCCGGTAATTGCAACCTTGACTGCCACATGAGGCGGGTTACCTCAATCGGCCAAGTACAGTTTTCCCTGCGCGATTACCCACTGACTTCTTGAATGGGGGTTTGCCGACATCCATGACAACAAACATGAGTTCCTTAATCGCGCAAGGGAGGGTTGTGAACAATTCTGGGGACAGTGTTTGGATTAACCTAATGAGGTAAGAATGAAAAAGAGAAGCCCTTTAGGGGTCGGGCGTAACTTCCAGCTCTGCCTATTTCATCGACGGTAGGTTACTCCACACGGCGATGGTTATTAGCTGCCGAATTTTGACACAATCGGCGACGGGTTGATATAAATAGACCTCCTCGGGTGGTCCAGTCTTTGATGATGCTATCGCGAGTTTACGAGGAAGGCGTTTCGTGGTGTGGCGAGGAAGTGTGCTATATACGCGCGTATGTTGTGAACCTTATGAATAAGACCTTACTATTCTATGAATACAATCAACAGCCGCAGCCTCGAGCAGGTAAATTACATCCTATCCAGGCTGAAACTATCCTTAGCCTACTAAAACCCCGACTTCACAAGCTTTGTCTACCCCTATGATGGCCTGCCAGCGTCAACGGTCTTGTATTTTTACGATGCTTTAACATCCTGTTATCTAGCTAACCAGGCTGTCTGGTTGTTTGAATGTGAACATCCTGCTAGCTGCAAAACCCTGCTGGCTTTTATCGCTGTCTGCAGTATTGTTAGGACCCTAGCCCTGTCAGCAGGCTAACACCATATCAAGAGCAACAGTGCAGCTTTTGCAGCTATCGTAACTGCCATCTCTTCCTCGTGCCTTCCTTTCTAGTTGGGAAGGCAGCTGACTTCTACCCAAATCCATCGATTATCGTAACCCACCCGCCTGGGTAGCTGACTCTTCTGTCGTTCTTCATGACAAGCAACAGCTGTGAAGGCGACTAACGTGTCTCTCGTGACGACGAGAGATTGCTATGGAGCAGACCAAGCTGTCTGCTGCTATGACGAGCGATCGCTGAGGGCCTGACCTAGCTGTCCCTCGCCAAGACGAGCGATCGGGCCGTCTGCTGCCGCGACAAGCAATTGCTACTAACCTAACCTGCCTAGCTGCTGCCATTACAATTGATTTGTCTAGCGATAGCCGTAGCCGTAGCCGTAGCCCTAATCTAGGAGGGAGCTGTAGCTACAACAGCAGCCCCGAGAATATAGGAGACTTCTGAAAGCCTGTTGGATTTCCTGACAACTTGTTCAGCTTCCAACAGTAACACAACCCTGACCGCTAAGCCATTTCGACAGCTGTTAGCCCTCTGACAGCCTTTCCAAGTGACCTAGAATGTTCAAAATATTTGCTGTCAACAGTAAAGGTTTGGGTCATGGTGTTAGTACTTGACAGGCTGTCCCCAGGACTGTCCGCAACCCCCCACTGCGTGAGGTGGTTGTTTTAAGATGCTCTCGTGAGCAATTTGATCCCTGTGGGTTCTCTGAGCTTTCCCTGCAGAGGATATGATGACGTTGGGGTTACAATTTGCCAAGGTTATCCGTGCCAAAAAACCCCCTTCCATTCGTTCATCACGGTTCGCATGAGTTTTTCGGCTGACATGACATTTCAAACTTCTCTCACCTGACGATTTCAATAGGTCTTTGAAAATTCTGTTAGGTGATGAGAACGGGACTCGGACATGTATGCATCAATGTCTTAGCCAAGGATGATTGCGCTACCCTGGCTGTTTGCGCTACCCTGGCTGTTTGCGCTACCCTAGCTGTTATTCACATAATGCTTCTTAACCCGGAAAAGGCAGTCCCTGTTTCATCAAACCACAACTTGAACCCACTTGAGGCTCTCTTGGCACACGTGTCTATGTAAGTATCGTTCGTTCTTATCTGCCAAGGTTGCCTCCTGCTACAGGGGAATGAATAACACGGGAGGACCATTCTGGAGTTTGCTCTACTGACCCTTGATCTCCGGGAAAACTTTGACGTCAAAGACATTGGGGCGGCGCCGCCTTCTATAAGATGTTCTCGAAGTCTCGAGTAGAGGGAAGAGCCGACTTCACCCGTAATGGATTTTGCTTCGTGGAAAGATAATGCCGTTGTCCTAGTCTTGGTACATCTCCTAATCGCCTGGCCGCACGTGGGTGAGTGAGCTCGATGGGCCGGGAACACGGCAGTGTCACAATATTACTATTCCACGCCACATTCTGCCTACCTGGGTAAGCACAATCTGCCGAAGCGGCATTACTGCGGTACCCGGCATGAGCAGGGCCATAGCGTTGGGAAAAAATGGAGAGCTGAAGCGACCCATGCACAGTGCCAATAGTAGGGACAATGCGTACTTGAATTGTACTATGTATGATCCCGGCATCCGAACTAAGGATCACTCGGGATATCGAGAAGGGGTATGGGTCATGAAGTGTCACTTAGCCGTCACTTTACTTCTTCTCGGCCGGAGAGTCAGTCCTAGGACCCTTGATTCTAAGCTCTAGACGCGCGTCGCTGACATGTGGTCGTTCTTCCGCTAGCAGCACCATGGGGAGAACAAACTCATTCTAGGAATGATTGGATATTGTGCGGTGAGATGGGGACTATAGGATGCTACTAATTTTACTCGGCTCACAAACCATTCCGTTCCGTAAATGATCTTCGACTTCCCGTTCCATGAAGTTCCTGCTCGTTCAGTGCTGGTGGCGATGGGTACGGTGGGGACCAAGCTGCTTCAGCCAAAGGTCTGAAATGGTTAAGCCCATTGAAAAATGGCTGCCTAGAGGGGAGTCAGGGGCCGCTTTCAGGAACAACCGAGATTTGGCAGACGAGTGCCTACCGCCAGGTGGAGAATTGATCCTTTTGAGACGTCAATCAGGTCCGAGCGGGTCTATAGAGAGCCTCTGTGTGAACCTGGCTGTCTACAGAGTGAAAGTAAATATACTAATAATAATATTTCTGAAGACATGTAGACCGAATTACTCTATCAGGTCAACTTAATCCTGGATGGGATCCTACGGCCTGTCTAATGATGTTAGACTAGATACATGGATTGGTGATGAATCCATGGAGGCAACTCTAGAGGAGTGGCGAAAGAAGACTTGTAAGATTGTAGACGTCTCTCTTCTGCTGGCATGGAAAAACTATATATATTCAGTCTTCTCCAAGGCATTGAGCTGTTTCTATATTCCAAAAACAACAGTCCTTTAACAATTACCTGATTTCCTTTTCCTTTTTTCCCATTTCTTATCTACTTTCTAGTTTGCAACTTGATCTTCAAGCCTTCTTCTTTTTTTAACATTCAAAATGGTTGTACTCAAGCACTTGAGTATAACTGCCTTGCTCTGGCTCGGCCTTGCTAGCCGTGGACTTGCTCAGGCTCTGGATAAGCCTGACGACCTTGCTGTTCGCGGCGAGCACGTTGAAGAACTCACCGCTCGAGACATCGATCTTGGTATCGAGGAGAGAGACGAGGAAGACGAGCTTGACACTCGCGACATTGAGGACGATCTCCTCGATGTCCGTGACTTCGAGGATTACCTCGAGGCCCGAGACATTGAGGATGAGCTCCTAGAGGCTCGCGATCTTTACGTGCGCCAGCGCCAGCCTCGTCCTCGTCCTCCTCCTATTAACCCTCGACCGGCCCCGCGTCCTGGCCCAGTCCCGCCCACTCCCCCCAACACCCCTACGCGTCGCCCCCGTGGTCTTAAATATCTTGACACTCGTGATCTTTACGTGCGTCAGCGCCAGCCTCGTCCTCGTCCTCCTCCTATCAACCCTCGACCGGCCCCGCGTCCTGGCCCAGTCCCGCCTACTCCTCCCAACACCCCTACGCGCCGCCCTCGCGATGTTGACTATCTCGAGGCTCGCGATCTTTACGTGCGCCAGCGCCAGCCTCGTCCTCGCCCTCCTCCTATTAACCCTCGACCGGCTCCCCGTCCTGGCCCAGTCCCACCTACGCCTCCTAACACCCCTACACGCCGCCCCCGTGATGTTGGTGACTACCTCGAGGCTCGCGATCTCTACGTTCGCCAGCGCCAGCCTCGTCCTCGTCCTCCTCCCATCAACCCTCGGCCGGCTCCCCGCCCTGGACCAGTCCCACCTACGCCTCCTAACACCCCTACTCGCCGCCCCCGGTAAAGGGGTCGAGAAAAGAATGACTCCCTGCAAAGGCTGCGGTTGTACATTCAGCTAAATAAACTATAACCTGCAGTTTGGGGGCGTCATCGGCCTTTCCTGCACCGAGGGAAAGACACTAACGGGTGAGGATTTTGTATTATTAAGTTTGGGAGAGATATAGCTTCAGTTGGAAGAATTAGGGGAGAGATAATCGTACAGTAGTTAGAGAAAATACATTCGTTGTTGGAGAACCTTTGCCCCTTTTCTATTTGTGAGAGTTGTAATGCGACGGTGAATGATTTACTTCAGTGGAGATTTTGAATTTCTTTATGAGATTAGCCAACCACAGCTGCCTTCGTGACCACTGTGGCCGACCTAGCTAGCTGACTCTTCAGTCTTTCTTCATGACAAGTAACAGCTGCGAAGCCGAACAGCGTGTGTCTCGTGAGGACGAGGGATCGCAGCAAGTCTGGCCGACCTGTTTTCCGTCGAGACGCGCATATGAGGCGTGCCTGGCCTGCATTGGCCGTGTTGAGTGCCATCTGGATTACCATCTTTCCATAAGTGGCAAGCTGAACCGTCGTGCGCGCAATTGGGAAGAATGTGTTGGATGCAGGCCAGAAAGGCATAAAGCTTCGCCAAACTGCAAAGTCGCTGCCAGCCATCGCTTTCCATGTTGAATCATAGATACGAATTGAGATTAGCGAGGTCTCGCTATGGACTAGATACCTTGCCTTGATTATTATCTTGATCATCGGCAGCCCAAGTTGTGCTTTAACAGTCATAGTCTGTGCTGGAGAATTTGAAAGAGCTTATTGGTGTATGCTCTCTTGAAAGGAGCAGGATGTTTTTGTTTATTATAGTAGTAGACTTACCTTGCACTGTATTTTAAAAGCTTAAAAGTATTTCTATTGATACTATCTCCTGGAACCTTTCCTCTCCGTACTACTTGGTCTTTTCGATAGCTGTATCTAATTATAGTAATCTGGCCTTTAGTACCAGGAATAGCTACTACTTTAATCCGTCCCTCTTCAACTTTGCAATAGCATTTGCATCGAGCTCCTCTTCGTACCGATAAGAATATCTTGGCCAAAGTTAAACAATACCAATACTTGCTCAGGGGAGAGATTATTCAGCTGTACTAACTGGTCAACTTCTTCAAGCTCTTCAGGTTCATCAGACTGATCAGTCTGATCAGCTTGAACAACTTGATCAAGCTGTTAAAGTAGAGCTACCTTCGCTCGCCCTATATACTTCTATATACTAATAGGAATTTTTAGCTTTATTATTATATAAAACTAACTAATTTTCCCTTTGAGAGAAGATACTGAAATCTTATTATTTAGTATATATAAAAGCTATAGATATATTAGTATAAATACTCTAGCTAATTAGCTAATAATATTTACTAGATTAGTTACTTTAAGCCTAATATATTTAAATATTTAGATTAATTAGTATAGTTAGATTAGTATAAGATAACTAAAACTAGTAAGTACCGGAGGAAGGTCCTTCTGGCCTGTAGCTACAGAAGCTACAGTCTTAGGTACAGACAGCAGCCGGGCTAGGCTGCCTAGGATATTAAACAGCAAGGCAAGAGACCGAAAGAGGGTTTATAGTATATTTTATAGGTAATCCTGTAATTAAACAAGAGAAATAGGGGCTAAAATAGCTATATTTCGAAGATAAAGAATAAATAAAAGATAAAGTCTGCCCCTTTCAGCTGTAGGGCTCAGCTGTTCTTTTTTTAAACTAACTATCCTTTACTAAGCTGCTCATCTATCTACCAGATAAAGGATCTGTAGCCACAGTAACTAGCTGTCCGCAAGAGAGACAGAGAGATCAGGTCCGCAGCTACGGGCTGTCCTTCAGAGAGACAGAGAGGCCAGAGCCGCGGAAGGGTCTGTCTTCGAGAGAGACAAGGAAGTCAGGTCCGCAGCTACAGCCCGTCTTCGAGAGACTTATCCAGTCGGCTCTCATTAGATAAAAGAACTAGTATTAATAGTTATTTAATAAGCTATTACTCTATTAGTAAATAAGTTATCTATATAAAGATTAGAATTTTCTAGCTATATAGCTCCCTAGATAGATTAGAAAAAACTATATTTTAAGACTTTTTATATTTACTATATTAAGTTATTTAAGCCCTAATAGCTTTATTATTATTAAATTTATCTTTGTTTTACCTATATATATATAATAGAATTACTGATTAATTAGAACACAGCTGAGCTGGTGAGGAGATTGGACACGCTACCAGAAGTGATGTAGATTCGGCCTCACTGACTGTGAGGATCTTCTACACCATGCTCCGAGAGACAGAATTAATAAAGGTCAACACATCAAGGACTAATTAACTGGTTTTATGTATATTTTCCTCCGCTTTTTGAAGCATCGACGGCATGACGCTGCGATGCACGGCTGATAGAAGTGTCCACCAGATGCGACCGAATAATGAGTTGTATTGTATCAGAGTAGTCAGGGATACACTGTCCGAGGTCTGGTGTACAATCAAATTGGCGGACAACAGCCATGACCTATTCTCAATCTGAATCCCATCCTCAGACTGTTTGCCAATCTTCCATCCCGCGACTGTTGCCGGCGACCGTTCCAGAATTAGAGGGAGGCCAAGGAGACCAGTCCATATGAGCTTTTGCTGAGCATTAGGAATATCTCCAAATATGGCGCGGATCCATTGCTCAGGTAATCTCCTGGGGCAATCTTGGGTGAGTGTGAGCAAGAAAGTGTCTGCGTAGTCGACTCGTTCTAGTGAACTGTATTTGCGTATGCAATGATGGATGCTATCGGGGGCTAGGATGCCGCCAGTTATTCGGGAGTTCGACGACATGATTATTTCGCTGGTGGAAGATGTAAGTGATGCACAAAAGATGATGCTGGTTTTGATCTCGTTTGCGGTGACCGGGCTTCTTATACCCTCCCACACACTAGAAAATCTACTCCCCGACGATGAAAAAATCCCGACTTTGGCCGATGATGACGATTTAGTCTTGTGATGGTTAGAATCCGATCCATCCGACCACGGATCTCGCATTAGCTGTGTGGCAGCCTCAGCCGCTTGTAGTTAAACTCCTTAAGTCTAATCCACTGTCAACACGGATACTTCTTTAAGTGCCGGCTGATCGGAGGGTTTCCTCCCAGTTCTTATCGAGTGGAAGGTTGCTGATAGAAGGCGGTGCCTAAACTGACCGGATGCATCCAAAAACCCGGGAAGCCACAGAGGAAAGGGCTAATAGATCTGCTCAATTCACAAGGTTGAGCCAAGATTCAAACAGGAGCGTGGCCGTACTGACTAGTATATTCGCTCAATATTCCAAATAAAAGAACTGCCTTATTCGTCTAGGTTGATAATAAACTACCTAGGTAAGTAGGTAATTGTTATAGATTTCTATGATTTGATCTTATGTTTTGTCATGGCTCACAGAGGGATTTTAACACTTCATTATCCCCAAACCTCTCTGTCTCATCTTCATTATCAAGCAGGACCTTTCAGAATAACCCTTGTTAGTTAACCTGTCCACTACGAAGCGCGCGCGCGTTTTATCGATAGACCTCTTGATATTCATGGCTAATTAGACTCCGAAAACTTTATTCTCCTCGTATTATCCTGAATCTCATTTACTTGCAGCAAAGTTCGAGTGCTCTAAAGAGGCATCATAAACTCCAACTTCAAGAACGTACAAGTTTTCATCCCGTGCCACCAACACATCGCGATGTATTGAAGCGTTCAGGATAACTTTGGAGGATTGAAGTGATGTCTTGGAAACTCGATCTCCTAGCGTATGTGAGAGCTCTGGCATCGCGTGAGCATATTCATCCCATACAGAGCGCAGACTTTTGGCCTCCTTATCTTGCTCGTCTTGATCTATAGTGCACCAAGGGACACCATTGACGATACCAAAAGAAACGCGGAAGCGGCTGCGGACTGAATTTGCATTATACTCCAACTCAAGCACAGCTACTATGTGCGATTCAGGGCCTTTATTAAATGGGAACTGATTCTCGTCAACGGTGAATGGTGGCCAGAAGCCGATGGAATGTAGGTTAGAATCTTCCAGGCAAGTCCGCACCATTCCCGGAGAAGACCATGGGATCCCAGGTCCAAGTTTCCGGGAGCAGTCCTCGTAGGGATGGAAAAGACATTGTTGCAATTTAAATTCTGGCAGCAATGACTTGTCGACACTAATGAGCGAGGTCGGGGAGAAACGATAGGATAGTTCGTATGTACCAGTTGCCATAGTTCTCAGTGGGATGCAGAGTAGCCGATTACGAAACTCACACTGAATCCAAGCGAGGCGAATAGTAGGATGGGCTGACTCGAGAATAGGAAAGCTGATGCGGAGGCCCCGGCTGGTTTGTTCAGGCGGATTTGGCGGTACGTATCCGGTAGGTGAATGCTGGAAGTCATGGTTGATAATCTCCATCTGCTTTTCGATCTGGAGCTTTTCAAACAGAGTGATACCTGGCGTTGCCTTTCTCCATTGGAAGGACTGACCATGCATTTCGCCAACAAGCTGCTTCTGATTCACCAGCTCATCAAGCATCGATTGATCGTTTTGGCTATGGAAGAAGGGATCGGGGCGGAAATCTACATTTCCACTACGCTCTCCAAATTCAGCCGGCGACGATGCGAGAAGGCCCCTCATTAAGTGTGGAGGCTGGTACGTTGCTGACCAAACAAAAATGCTATAGTCTTCTTCCTGTCTCATAATCTGCTCTTGGAGCCTAATGAAAGCTCTTGACCCTTCGCCGTATAACAGAGGCATATTCACCCCAAAGAGACCAAGCAGGCAATAGGCCTGATCCTCGAGCCGACTGGTCTGTCTCCCTGCTGCCCAAGACATCCGTTGTGCGATTTTGCATTTGGATGGATCATGTCCTCGGAGGATGGGTACGGGTATGAGGGTGATACTCGATATGTATTTCGCCAGGCTCGACTTGGTCCCGATATCCACCCAATTAGATGTATAGAACTTGATGTACGAGGGGGCAAGAAGCTCTTGAAGGGTCCAGCCCCTCGTGAACCAGCGACTGGGCTTGATTGAGATTGTGTCGGATAGCAGGCCGTGCTCGAGACCGAATTCAACATCCTCCAAATACACGTAGCAGACACTGGAATCCGCATACCACTGGTACATGGAGTTGATGGCCTCGGAAAGCTCGGCACTGCTAGACTTGTCGATACAGCAGGTGTCAATCCATACCCACTGCAGACCATCCTCGGTGGCTTTGCGGCAGCAGTTGATGACTTTATCGTAGCTACGTCGCTTTTCCGCAGTCCCACGCTGGATGTCGTTGAAGAGGACTTCGTCATCACCCCATGTGTGGCTTAGAATTGCGTAATTGGGCACTTGGGAGCCCAAGAATTCATGAAGCTCCCTCGATTTGACGTTAAGCAGCCTCATAGCGTTCAATGTAGGTTTGCGGTCAAAACTGTCCTGAGATTTGCGAAGGAGGGGAACCTGTCATCATTGAGGAGTATTTTGGTATGAGAGTTGGAATCGTCGCAGGGACCCTGAGGCTCCAAGAACACAGTGTAATCTTATCGGATGCTACATCACCCTCATGAACATCGCCGATTTCACCAAGACATGAGCGAGTAGTGTGAGATTGGAATGAGAGAGTGCAAACGCTCTATTGGATGACGTGGCTTGTTTGTGATGACCAACGCCCCACACACATAATGTAATGAGGGACAAAAGGCTGTCATTTTTTATCTGTATTTCTTCTGTTTGGGTGTCGTATCTGGCATTTTTTCAGGATGAGAGTCAAGCCACTGAGAAGCCCCCACTCGTCCTTTTTACGTAGACTTCAAAATTTATTGAGTAAAACGAGTGTTGAGTGTAGTCTTGTTGTCAAGGGCTCAACCACGGACGCAGTTGAGGATGATGTTCCCGTATTTAGATAGTAATTACGAGCTTGAGAAGCTTGAGACTAGGATCAACATCCTAACAAGAAAAATGGAGGGATATTTAGAGGACAAGTCTATTCTAAGGCTCAATAAGATCATTCATTCAAGTTAGAGATCCATGAGACTGAAATTCACGGCTCACAATCGGGGTATATGACAGTCTTGAGCTGTGTGAGCTCTCGGAAGGAAGGGACTCGCAGAGAGAACATAGGAAAGGAACGAGGAATGAAATATAGATGGTCCAACATGAATGAAAATTTCGTCAGAATAAAATGAAATCCCGACCAATGCCAACCACCTGTGCAAGGCACCCAAGTATCCTAGGAGCAGATACAAATTACACGTGAATACGAATTTCTCTTGGTAAAACGTGTGATTCTATCGCAAGCCGTGTGTTCCGGTCTCATCGGGTACTATTGACGGGCAAATGGACTCAAATTTTTCTGTCCCTCTGTCCCCTTCGCTACCGTGTTGATTGACTGCTTGCAATGCCTCGAAATTTGGTGGCTCCTCATATGGCGGCGGAGGTTGAGTCCAAGTCGATGAAGTCGCGCCTATATTGTCGACCGCTGGGCTGTGAGGACCGCCCGTATTATCAGCCGGCGGGAAAACCTTGATCTCCCGGTCTATCTCTGCAGTAATGACTTTGTCTGCGACTTTCACTTCCACGGTACCCTTTAGTCTGTTCTTGGTTCGAATGTTGTAAGTCGTAAACTCTGGATGTAGCTGCTGAACGTTGAAGGGCATTATTTCCCTTCTATCTTTGGTGGTCTTCATTCGAAGATTGAGCACCTCTCCAACATCCAAGGGCTCCGAATCATGTCCAAAAGGTACCTCAACTGGTGTGTCTCTTGGGCCAAATTGTCTGCTTCCTTGTACCTTGGGACACCACTCCCACTCTGTATCATAGGGGCCTTCGCATCTGATTTCCACCAGGGTTCGGATTTCGATATCGAGTTTCCGAAGCCTACAAGTTTGCAGCACGTCCTGAAGAATCTCGCTTGTTTTGTCCCATTTGGGGACCACGCGTAGCTTGATGGGCACATGGCCTGATTGGTCCATTTGCAAGGTGATAGGAAACCATGTCTGCAAAGTAAAAGCTAACTTGGGCGGTGGTACGCTGCTGAACATCTTCTTGAACTTTTGTGAGGTAGTCAGCTGGTCTCGGCTATAACCAGGCACAAGGCTGTCTCCCTGAACTGTATGCAATGTGTTGAGTAAATTCATCCGCATCTCAATGGGCGGACCTGAGTTGTATCGCTCGATTCTGACTGGCTTTACGGCTGTGGCGGTGCCGTGAGCATGCATCTGTATCTCGGCTTGGATGTAGTACTCAATAAATCCCTCCTTGGACTCGCTTGTAGATGTTCCTGAAAAGGAGGCGGGTAGCGGTACGTTATTGTTGAATGGGACGAAGCTATTCTTCTCATTTTCTTTAATGCTCACGGGAAGACAGCGACTGTCTGCATGTGTGGGTAAAGTGAAAGTGAAAGGCCAGCTTTGGTCCCCTCTTTCAGGGATGTGAACCGCTCCGTTCCAAAGCTGTTGCTTATTTCGAGAGCCAACGATGAGCGTATACACTCCCCGACGTTGGGTCTCGCTGTTAGCGAACTTTGATTTTGCTCTGCCGTGCAGCGAGACTGTTAGAATGGCCCTTTGACACTTGGTGGAGCATCTCCGAACAACACGGCCGATAACGACATCTCCAGGTTGGTACCAGAGAGCATCGCCCTCAAGTTCGACTGCCAACGCTGGTGAGCTTTGCGGAGTTGCCTGGGGCATGCTGAAAGGTGAGCTATAGGTATCTGTTGAGAGCTAAAACGGAAAGTCATCTCCATGAAAATTCGACGGGGGAAGTCGGCTTAAAGGTGACTCACATTGAATTTAGCCACGCGTGCGTAGGCAGCCATCCAACACCGTGACAGTGGCGCAGCAGTTGCCCTGGTGGCGTTGGACTACCAAGCTGTCATCATCAGTTTGGAACTTTGGACGACACGTTGTTCTGAGAGGTGGTGTGATGCGGCAGACTCCCTGTTGGCACAATCTTCACTTCATTCATGCAAGACGTTCTTCATCGCAAATACCAATTCCATTGCTCGGCCGAAAAGCAACGAGACGTGGCTTGGCGAACTCGCCTTATGCTATGTATTGCAAATAATGCACGACTTTTGAAGGGCATAATGTAGCAATGTTGATGCCATCAGGTATGTCAGTCGTATTTCATAGCACGCTATACCCCTGTTGTCTAATCAGCCCAACAGCCCAAGCGGAACAGCCAAGCCAACAAGCGACCTCACAATCCTGGTCTGTGCAGTAACATTTTATGGTGTCATCATAGCAGCTATGAATGTCATATACACCTTTTAGATAACCACACTTCTTCAGTATCTAGCTACCCTAAAGAGGACGAGTTATGATTGCCACGGATAACGAGCTACAAAGTCAGCCTTGGATTACAACGTCGTGTTCATATTAAGAAAAAGAGTCACAAGTCCCAATATATATAATACAAACACTCATAAAGAATGCTTCCCTTTGTAGTAGCAAAGCCACCAATATCAGAGTGTGATAACCTATACAATATATTTGGTTCACACATGAATTGCAGGGTGATCGTGCCCAAAGATAGTTTGAATGCTAAGAGTGATGCTTTAGAAGCGGAAAAGATCCCTATCAACGCAAGCGGAGGAACACGGACGAGTAAACGTCTACTTAAGGCATCAAGAATATACCCAATTGAATCCGAGACGCGTGATGTTAGAATGCATTGATCGGCTGTTATGAAATTCCCCTTCCAATAATATAGAAACAACACTTCCTTTATAAAATGTCACATTTCTCAATATACGTTTAGAAAACCTTTGTTTGAAGTCTCAGAATCATAACAAGTGGCCAGAGCACCCGTTTTAAGCAACGTAGTGATCTATCTTCGAGGGATAAAGGATCCCATACTAAGCTACTAACTTTCAAATCTTGCCTTACATCTTGAAATTACGTCTACTTCTGTGCCGAGACTAAAAGCTTGAGTAGCACGACAATCTATGTTCTCGCATCTAGTAGGACTTCCTTACGCCATTTCTGCATCCTTGTTCTTCACTTTCCTCCGCGCTGTTATTGAAGTCATTCGTCCGTCACAAAACATTTGGGCTTTCTTTGACTGCGACCATGCAGACCACGAATTTACGGAACTTTTCACTCACAAAAGGTCGACGGGATTCCGGATCACGATGTAATATTTATATTTAAGGCTGGCAACGCCCAAATCTGCGCAGCCATATTCTCCTCCTCATTCCCTTGCCTACCATATCAAAGCACGCTTACAACACCAACACCACGCGCAAAGTCACGGATAAATTTCGCTAGACCAAATAGTCAGTCCTCTCTTCATCATGTCTTCTGATCCACTCCCTGATCAGCTTCCTGATCAACTCCCTGATCAACTTCTGGATACTAAGTTGACCACTTTCGAGCGAGAGCGGTTGACTTTTGCTGAAAGGTTGACCACTTTCAAGCAAGAACGGTTGACTATTGCTGAATGTCTACTGCGGCCCCTCTTGTCGAAGCTCAAGTTGGCCTTATCGGCTATGCCACCAACTCATCCATGCTTTAATCATCCATCCTTTGAAGGGAAGTCAAAGAAACCGGATGTTATTAAAATCCTTGATACTTACTTTGACCGTACGGAGAGGCCGTTCACTAACAACAACAAGACCATTCACAAGAAGTACAAAAAGCTTATACATATTATGGAGAAACTGGATTTTGAGTTGCTTCAGAGACTTGCCTATTGCGTGGAAGATTCCTTCACACCCGTCAAAGCGGATCTTTGGCAGGCGATTAATTTGTGGCATCAGGTAACTTCAAAAATGTACGGTCAAGGTCCACTTTCAGATACTGATGGTTCAGAGGACGAGGATTTAGAGGATGAGGAATGACCAGAACATGACCCAGAAAAGCCCATGGACTTATTTGCATAGGAAAATGACGCCCTCACCATTGTTGCCGATGATATTGAAATTGACGACTTCATATACGAAGTGTCGAGGAATAAACGGAGACAAGCAATGACTTATAACGTCTGACAGTGGGACTGATTTTGCGATCTGAATGGGCAGTGCCAGTGTAGCGAAACTTGGGGTATAATCTGTGGCAAATCCTAATGTTATGATATTGGTAAAATTATCTCCACCCTAGGTGCCTGAATAGTCGTCTCTTATGTAGACCAAAGGTGTTCTCTTTTTTCTAGCCGTTTGGGTTATCCCTGCCTTTGTGTTTCTTTCTTTCATACCTCATAGTACTGATTATTGTTTTTTGGAATGAAAGGTGAAGCTACTATGCGAACATTGATACTTCGGCCCTAGAATTACAGACTTAAGGAAATGAATGAGAGTGTGCTAAACTCTTCTTCGTCTTTGTTTGTATCCCTGTTTTGGATGTAGGTATGGATATTGTCGAATGGATTTAAGTTGGCTGGCAGGTGCTTTGTCCATCTTATAAAGGACGCCTAAGAGTACGTGAACGTGACCTTCCCACTGGCCCGAACAATGCGCTGAGCCACCTCGGTTATGCAGACCTTCGGAGTCAGCTTTATTTTTTAACGTGAAGTGGGATCTAAGAGCCGGAGATCCTACTTGATCGGGCTTCGGGGTCCCACCTTGGTATGATCAGCTTGGCGCTGAATCACAAACTATTTCTTGGCTACTGAAAGGTGGCGTAAATCATTAAGATCTATTGCATGGACGATCGGCCCATGATGATGTGTAAGATCTAAGCGCTGTCTAAATCTAAGCTAAGAACTCCGATTTGTTTGTTTACAGATGTCTCCCGTCGTTTTTGGTTTATTCTCCGGTTCTACCGAATTGATGCCACGATCACGCCACACGACGCTACCATTTAGCTGTATTGGATCGTCTCGTACTGGCTCTTTGCTCTGATGTGTGGCCCATATTTGAACAGCACCCAGGGAACAGGCAATAGCACAAGGGAGAAGAATCCCAAAAGGCTACTAGCCCAGGAGATGCCCAACTTTTGGTACACTGCATCCAAGTCAGTCAACGTAAGAAATCACAGATGTGAAGATTGGGCTCTGTCTTACTCTGAACTGTAAAGAGTGGGAAAGCTGCGGCAAATCCATACCTGGCCAAACTGTTGGCGCTGGCCGCGCTGGCAATTACGTTGCCGGTGTATGTGTCAGTCTTATACTGAAATGTGGTGATAAAGATGGAGATATTCCCCCAGGCAAAGAATGAGATGGCTGCTGCAGGGCTGGCCCACGACACGCCAGCACGTGCCGACCATCCGAACCAGAAAAGCCCGATCGGCAACACCAAGCTGCCGACCATGGCAGCATAGAGGCGGTGCTCAGGAGGTACCTTGTTGGGTGGAAATTGGCTGACTTTCTTCTGGTATATCAGCTTATCACAGAGCACGATGGTGATAAGTCCAAGGAAACACCCGATAACAACAGAAAGAAAGACCAGACCGCATTGCTCGACATCAAACCTATATACAGAGGTGAAGGTATACGGCACTGCAGCGAAGAAGCTGAACAGGGTGCCGAACCCAAGAGCAACGTAGAGACAGATGAAAGTAACAATCGGTTCGAGAACCAGCATTCGGACAGGTCGGATGACAGCGACAAGGGCAAATTCCCTAAGACGCACCGACAGTGGCTGGGAAGGAGAGACTGGCTCACCCCGACTTTTAGCAAGTCTTCTTCGAAGCAGAGGGTGGAAGGTCTCCTTGGAAAGTATTGAAAGCGTCAAAGGGGCTGCAGATATAACAAGAAGACAGTAGTATGGCCAGCGCCAACCATGTCGACTAACAGCAAACGCTCCTATCACGGGCCTGATGCAGAGTTTTAGCGGTTATATTCCTGTATAGAAGAACAAATAGCACGACGATTTATCAAGATTTTCAAACTTACCCCAGGCCAGGACCAAGAAAAGCCATCAGCACAATTATTGCGCTCACAGGTCCTCTTGCCTCGGCTCTGAAGACCTCAATGATCGATCCCGCCGTGACAGCCAAGGTAGGACCCCAGCAGAAGCCGGAGAAAAATCTCAAGACGCACAGCGCAGTAAAGTTGGTGGCCTGAGAGGCACCGATTGTGAACAGCACACCTGTCAGGATACAACCAATGTAGACGTATCGGCGACCGATCGTTTCAGATAAAGGTCCACCGATGACAGGACCAAATGCAAGTGCTAAGACGTAGAGTGCGAGGCAAAGAATGGCGACAGTCCGTGAAACCGAGAATTCCACCATCACATACGCCACGGATGGACTAACAATGGATGTGGCGACTGAGCTATGAAGATCTAATGTTAGAAAGAAACTCCAAACCACGAGGAGTTGGAGGAAGAGAATGGTTGGAGACTTCGAACCCGAGGAATGTGGCAGATGAGAGCATAGCAATCTGTATGAACTTGGCTCTCGGGCCCCAGTTTAGGGGATTTTCAGGGTCCTTGTCCCATCTGTCATCCTCCTCGATTTGCGTCAATGTCGCCTCTTTTGCACCTCCGGCAGTGTTGTCGCCATCGGTCGAACTGGCTTCTATGTCGACTGGTAACACAGCGTGCTCCATGTTAAGATATTTGGAGTCTAATTTTACCGTAGGAAATACGTTGTTGTGTTTCTATCACCTGCAGCTGTTCTTTGTCGTGAGGGGAGTTGAAGAGATAGAGAAACACCAACAGACACAACCACTCGATGAATGCAGGCGTGTTTAATACCTCGATGATATGGGTGGCAAAGATCCACCGATTCTGTCGTTTGGACTGCATGGAGTAAAAGCGGACTGAATACGTTCAGCTAATATTCTGCGTAGGGCTAGAACGAATGCAAAGAAAGCACGGCGATATTGGATGGGACACGCAAACATCACCAGGGTTCCAGGGCTTTGGATCGGATCTAATGCTCCACCAAGAAAGCATCGCCTTGTCCATCACCAGAAGAAAGTAAGCACGAGTCAGATCCAGACCGTCATGGTATGCATATCAATACTTAGCAGGGCTGAGTTGAGTAGGCTAGTGGGCTACTATCTACAATCCATGCAGTCGGGTGGAGAGGAACGGTTATCCTGGTGCCGATGAATTCTCGAATCACCCACTGTTACTTCTTTGCCCTCCAGTTCCTTGCAACACGTGTCATGCATCTACTATGGTGGGCCAATGTGTTCAATAGACTGACGAAAGTAGATTCAAGCCCCTGTGAAGCTGTCAGGTTCATGCTGGCTGAGGAGCCCGCTTGGTTCAGCCTCAGCCGCTCACTGATTCACTAGCGGCTAATATTTCTCCTTAATAGCTCGTGGCGCAGTTCAAATCAACGGCCGAATGGTCGTAGGGCTTGAATAAAACGGGTCGGCTTTTTGGACAGTTGCTACTACACACCGCCCCCATCGAGCGTAGAAGTCGATAACCCGTTTTGGCATTGTAATCGTTATCTTAGAGCCCACGCGTCTGCTCAACAGGCCCCTTCTCTGCGGAAGAATGGTTGAGCTCTTCCTCGACACTGTTACTGGAGCCTTTGGTATCTTCAGGATATTTCTTAGCGGTATAGTCGTCGAGCTACCAATGGTTAGACGAGGCTTATGTATCCGATATGAATCGTGCCACTTACCCAACGAAGAAGAAAGATCCAACCGCCCAGGCAAACGACGACTACAATCATAGCAATATAGCCGTTTCTCCAGTAAGGTGCATGGTTGGCTGGGTAGACCACGATGCCCCAGAAGGTGTAAAGGAGCATGCCACTGGCGACCATGGAGGCAATAATGACACTTCGAGCCGCGTCGTCACCACCCCTGGCCGTAATTACGCTGGGCCATCCATATAGCAAAGGGTTGATACCATATGCAGTTGCGGCAATGTACAGCGCACTAAGGTTGCCGGCAACGGTCATCTGGGGAACCAAGAGAACAATGGTGCAAATGAGTTGAATGACCAAGAGTGCGAAACCAGTCGAGAGGCGTAGATTAAATCGATCGATGGCGGCGGCCGCGGCGAATTCAGCCACAATTCCAATGGCTTGGATTCCAAGAGGCATAGTGTTGACCTGCTCCTGAGTGTATCCGTCGATATCTTTCCGGTTCTTGAGATATAGTAGCATCAATCCTTGGACGGAGTATGCCTGCAAAGCGGCTGAAAGAAGTGAGAAACCACAACATATATAGCTATCAATGGTATATTAGCCCCAGGCACCTTTTTTACGGTATTTGCTATAGCACTTACAAAGCAGGTTGCCCCAAAACTCTCTTGGTTAGACTCCAGGGGGCAATGCTGTGACCATCCTCCTTCTTAGGAGGAAGACGATTGAGGGCTAGCTTACGCTCCCTCTCGCTCAGATAAGGGGCACGAGTATTCTCCGGTAGGTCGGGGAAATATAGATAGCCGAAAAGAGCGATAGGGCAGGTGATGATGCCATCAATGATGAAAACCCACTGCCAGCCTGCGAAGCCGGAGCGGCCATCCATGGATTTGTAGATGGCAGCCATCATGACGCCCGCGAACATGCTGCCCACCTGTCCAGCCACAGTGAACATGGCAGTCCGCTTAGCGATCTCATTAGGCTTGCTATTTTGAAGGACATATCAATCAGGCCAAAGCTTAAAAAAACAAAGAGGAGGGGAGCTCATGACTTACTACCAGGAACCCATCACGTAGATGCAGCCAGCGTAGGTGCTAGCCTCGGCCAAGCCCATAAGGAAACGAACGGCGCAGAGCTGGCCATAGGTTTTGCAACCCGCACCAGCCATAGTGAGACCAGCCCAAAGGATGACCATTGAAGGGAGCCAAATACGCGGGGGGACCTTGTGGATGATAATGCTGTTGGGGACTTGGCCAACAAGCATACTATCAAAGCGTCAGCTCCCGTCATAATGTAGGAACTCTAGTCTAGGCTAGGACAATGGATACAAACATACCCTGCAGAGGCCATAGAAAGAAGAACATTGTATTGATTGCCATCGAGGTTGAGGGCCTCCTTCAGGCCAGCGACCTATTGCAAAAGGAGTGTCAATATACCGCCAACACAGGCCAACACTAGTGTACGATTATAAACGCATCCTCCAAACTTACATATGCGTTAGCGAACGCCGCCCGGTCTAGGATTGGATTGTCAGTTTCCAGTCTTTGAAGTGCGAATGCCAATACCAGGCACATACCAAGGTAATTGAAGAAGTAGCTCAGACAGGAGTATGTCTTCCCAATGGTCAGGATTAGCACGAACCCTCTCCTCCTTATTGGTTCCGAATCAATTTACCAAAATGAAGAAATCTGGGCGGACTGTTAGATTTCGAGCTCAAAGTGCAGGGGTTGCGGTACAAACCAAGTTTGCGAATCAGTCGTCTCTCCTCCAGGGAAGTGTCTCCCCAGAAGAATGTGGTGGCTAATGCGACAGTTTCATGTTAGTCGGATGACTCTTCGGCATGCGAAGGTTCATGATGGATACCTTTCGTCACTATCGAGGAGGATTTGGCTGTCATGATAGGCCAGGGTTATCCAGGTAACTACAGATCCTCGACGACAAGAGTACTAAATGAAACTAGAAGATCAGTTTCAAGGAAAGACGGAAAAGCGACCCTGCCACCGGTTTTATTCTTCATTGCCAAGGTCGCAGTGGGCCTCTGCTGATCAGTGATTGATAAAAAATCAGTCAAGACCGATATCCGGTACCCAATAACACCCTCTAGCGCTACGACGGCAGCGTCTCTCACCCCAGCTAAAGGTAAATCGGCTAATTACTCGAGTGTGTTATTGGAAGGAACTATCCGTGATAAGAGGGGCTGTTTGGGGGGCTGTTTGGGGGGCTGGTCTCCGATTCTCAAAACTTCAGGCATTAGGCTGACTCGCTTTAGCAGTTCTAACCCTAAGCTTGAGCTAAACGAGGGCTTTTTTTATCTGATCCGCATAATCTGATCCAACCCTGGAAGGGATAGGAACTGGAGGAATTCCGAATGCCTCTTCTGGCATCCACGTGGCCCCCTCGGCGTCGATTAGTCTGGGTAGTATTACGATCATGGTTCAAAGTATGATATGTGGCTGACACTCGGCCGGACTACCATGGAAAGGCAAACCGCGAACCTCTGTGGAATAGAAGAAGGAACGATAGCACGCGGTAAAAAGGAGAAGAAGAAATTAGACGGCTTCTGGTTGGCTTCGTGTTTCGAGATGGCCAGATGCAATGCAGCAAAGCATCGAGACCCCACGTGGACATCGTCGGCCGCCTGCTAAACTCCACCAGTTCCCTGCCAAGCAATTGAAAATTTCGCACGACCAGTGACATTCATTGGAACTATGGTTTATCAGATGAAACTCAAGACCTAGTTCAGGAGAAGCGCGGGGCCTGGTCCTGAGCCCTGAACACGAGCAATTCGTCGAGAAGACTCGGAGTTCCGAGCACTAACCCCAGCACTGTGGAGATTTGGGGTTGAAGCCAAGCCAGCCTACCGCTGCTAATGTGACATCCGCCCCTACCATGTCCAAGGCTTAGCTATCTTAGGCTGGAAAGGCGTTGAGAATTTGACAAGCGCACATCGCCAAGCTCGGTAACCGGGCTGAGCCTTAATAGCTTACTCCTCACATAGATTCACTTTAGTAAACTATTCGTCAGCAGCGAATAACCACTAGGAATTTTCAGCAGTCATTCGTGGACGATCTTTCGGGGCCAGAGCACTGGAGAGTTTATACATTTCTTCTTATTGGAAAGCGTTCAAAAAGGAAATCGGTGTTAAAATGTTACTCGCACTTATAGGGGAGAGCAAATCTGTTTTATATATTAATATGAAGCCCTATATAAAGGCCATAGATAAATTCTGACTTTGGGAAGGAACTCTTCTTCCAGCCTCAAAAGTCTTGTTTCTTTGATAGTTATGGGCGCTTTCCCATAGCCACGAGAATCTCCACCACCTTCGTAGAAAGGTAGAGACTACCGGTAGGTGTTATTTTATGATTTGAGCGTCAATGCTTTGGCTAGACAACTCTCCTCTCGCGGTCAAGTGATCGCGAACATACCGATTTATTCTCAGTCGCAATTGTAGAACGTGGCTTCTCTCGAAATGAACCCCTCGAAAGTCTAGCCTTCGTTGAACTACCTATTTAGCAAATGGCTCCAAAGTTACCTGCTCAAGGAATTCGTCCTTCTCCGAGGCATCTCATCATTTTGCCGTTGAGATATCAAGTTGTCCAACTCAGTTGCCTGAGATTCGGCACCCTCCTGCATTCGTAGATTCAAGCTGTCCCGCTCGAACCATAAGAGCAGTCGACAGATGATGGCTGAGCCTGCAAATCGGGCAAGTACCAATGCTGCATCTTTAATGCCGATAAATAACAGAGAGGAGAATAAAAGCGTGCCGAACCCATAATTCATGAGAACAAGCAGTGCGCTGAGCCAGGAAAGGAGATCTGAGGCGATATTATTGCAGCCTATGCAACATGTCCACTCAGGCCGGGCTTGAAAAAGGGACGGAATAGGCTCCAGCGCAGCCCAGCGCTTCATGGCTATTGAGAGTCTGCGAAAGACGTTTGGGCGGACTACTTTGGCGTCGGTCTCCCTGTTCTTGGATGCATTTTCCACTCGTGCACGGCACCACAGGCTGGCGGCGGCGACCCAGGATATAGGCAGTGACAATAAAACCCACAGTTCTATAAAGCCTACAGCTTGGCACTTCCAGACGATCGATGTCCTAAAGTCAAGCTCCACCGTATTATGGATGGTGTTTGCCAGGGCTGACAAGACGAGGAGATATTGGCAGATTGAAACTAGAGGCATAGTCCAAGGCCTAGAGGAGGTTTTATTGTACGGTTGCAGATGGGATACACCAGGTGCGAGATACTGTCCTATGCCAACTATTACTGCTGACGGTTTGGCATTGACCTTTTCCACGGGGGCATTGAACAAGGGAATGGGGTTTACTGTCGGGGCACCGAGCATCATGAGGGACGCGAGTAGTGGACGGTGTATCGTGATAACGGCTATATCCTGAAGGCTGGGCCCGATGAAGCCAAGCATCGTCGGCATCAGACCGAGCAAAATAGCGGATGAAGCAAAGTTTGCTTTCGTGAACTCCTGTAAGGCGGAGAGTAGGCAATCCTGCGCAAGTCCGCAAATACTACTGTAATTAGGATCCACCAGGGTCTGGTTCCAATATCCTTCGAGCTCGGCCGCACATTCCAAAACCGCCCGGCGCATTGGGCGTGAAGCTGCAGGATACCATGAGTGGAACTTTATCGGAGGGAATGGGTAGGACAAGCTCATCGTTGCAAAAGGAAAAAAGGGCAAAGCTGTTGGTTTTCGGTTGGCAAGTAAGGCTGGCTATGGATTTGCAGTAATGGACATATCTAACCTTCTTTATAATCTATTCAACATTGTTTGCTTAGATTAGGGCCCGCTAAGGTTGCAACCCACCATGTCAGCCGCAGAATTGTTCACTAGTCTGAAGATATGCATGATCCCCTACGTATTCACAGTAAGTCTACGGCGATCGAGAGTTGCAGGGTTCTCAGGCGAATCAGGCGAAGTACTGAGTTGAAGAGTGCCCCTTTGCTAACCGCCGGCCGTGGTAATCTAACCAGGAAAAGTGCCATCACGTTATGAATTTATGTTTAGTAATTCATGCATCCGGCCAACCAGACAAGATCTTCAGGTGGCCTTGCCTTCGTCCAACGCAGTCAGCAACCACTGGAGTTCCTTAATCCATCTACACAGGGTGCCTAGAGGGCTGGGACCGCGCAGCTAGCACAAACCGACTATATTGTCATTAACTTGGGCCCGAATATCCACTGGTCCATTTAGTAACTTTAGCATAGGTAGCTATACTAAAGGCACTTTTACAGGAACAAGGAGGAGCTGTTGTTAGTAGCTCATGATGTTATCCGTTGGGAAGCGTTTAATTATGTTCCCCTGAGCCCTAAGAAAATTGTCTAATATGGGGGCTAGCCTTGACTAGCCCTTAGGGTAGAGAGGGGGCCTTAATGTTCTGGAGAACTGCACGATAAAAGCAGGAAAATTTCATGAGGGCCTATTGCGGCTTTGGTGAATCAGTAGAATCCCGGGACTCCCCCTCCTCAAGACCGCCCTGATCCTCCTCTTGTTCACTAAATCGCTGGTGGAGGGCCGGCCATTTGCTCTTCATCGCCTTCAACACACGATGAACCACCGGATCTTTGCCACTCCCATCGATTGGCTTCATCCCAAGCTTCTCAAGGACACTGCCCCATCTCTTCATTTCGTCTGTCTTTCCGCGCTGGGAGTCAGGATACCATTCCGTAGCGAGCTTACTCCACACCTTCCAGAGGCGTATTTCATTCTCGGTTGGTGTTGACATCTGAAAGTTCAACCCGTTCCACACTTCAATATCCTGAGATCCATTTGGGTTACCATGGCTTTTCATGGCCTCTTTTGCTAGAAGCGGGACGGTGAAATGGACTTTGATCTCATTGCCCAACCCGCGGCCGCTCCCAACAACCTCTCCAACACAGCGGTCACGGTCGCCACTGAACATGCCGAACGAGAGTTTATGGGGGATTGACCACCACCAAGGTGGATGATTCACCTGACCTGCAGAGAACCATTAGTTGGGCACAATGTGTATTTTCTTAAGTCTGTGCAGCGTAACCTTACCCTTGGACCTTAGTAGGCCTTCATACCTCAGGACATGCGCTGGTTGGCCTGTAGAGAGCTTCTCTGTTGATAAGTTCTTAGGCAGAATAGGTACGATTGACTGCAGCAACGCTCCCGATTCGAAGGATGCGTTGCTAACATCTTCAATCTGGGACATCATCCATAATAATGCAATCGTGGATAGACCAGTATCGATATTGCCGCCCCCAATATCCCCGTGGTGGCCTGCAAAAAGACACTGCTCAACTCGCGTGGTAGCGGCATTCGCTTGACGCGTCCATAGCATGGGTTGGAAGCTCCATCTCCTCTCATCGATGGCAATGGCCATGAATGCGTTTTCAACACAACGTGGAACCGTCCCCCTGACGAAGCTCAACCTAGAATCCCACAGAGAACTCACCGTGTCCCACTCGGCCAGAGCAAGTATGGGAACATCTATAATGGCGTCGTCCTCATATAGGGCCTGCTTAATCTTGGGGTCAACCTTGCCCTTTCCCTCCACCCAACTCTCGAAGACCAGAGGTAGCAACGAGAGGTACTTGCGCCTGAACAGACCAACTTCATCGATGAAGGCGGCCAGACACCTGACGGCAAAAGCGCCTCTTGAGAACCCGACAAGAATTATCTCGTCCTCATCCCCGACGAAGTTGTAATTGTTGGACAGGAAGCAATACGCATTGAGGATGGTTTTCTCGAGGCCTGGTTCGTGAGGTCAGCTTCATTAGGACGACGCAAGGGCGGCAGACTCACCTTGTCCCGTTACTCCCGAGTATAAGTAGTCGATGGGGACAGGGAGCACCGAGTCTGTTCCTACCCCGCTAGCATAGTAGGCTATTTGCGGGACTGGGAGGACATTGTCGTCGCCACCCCATCTCTCGTACCCGTGACGATCGACAGAGCGGGCTAGCCGTGCTACGTTAGTCGGCGGGAGGACCGTGCCGGCCGCGTTCTTCCAGGTACCATCGCAGCAAACGATCAAGCGCTTCTTTCCTTTTTCGTCGGCCAATACTTTCGAGAATGGTAATCTAGAAGGGCTCGAGCTGCTCGAGCCTTGAGTGGTGTCGTTGTTGTCGGCGACACCACTATCCAGAGCCTTGGCAGCCATGGTCCCAAAGTGCCACAATGCGGCCGGGACGGCGAAGTGTGTTATATCCTTGAACATACTGTTTTCTGGTGCAATATGGAAACGTTAAAGTTGAAATCTCGCTCCTTCAATTAGTGCCGAGTCAGTCTCGAGAGAAAGAATGCTTTATTATTATGGCCAAGCGTCACATTATTAAGCGAAGAAGCTGGTCAGCCGTAGATTGTTTCGACGATTATATAGCGGGGGTAGGGAAGTTCTACTGCGGGGTACGTCGACCTGGTCACATGGAGAATTCCTACACGAAGCACGACGCTGAGGATACATAACCAGGTGCCGATGACCTGGGGTAGCAAGGCTTCTTCCTATCGACGGTCTTGAGAAAAGCTCTAGCACGCTACTCACAGATAATAAGAAACTGCCACTTGACCAAATGTGTCTGTGTGTTCTCGTAAGAAACATGGAGACGTAGGTGCGGCCCCATGATACCAATCTGGAGGACCTGCAAGGGATCCTCAAAACGGACCTGAGTGCCATCATCAAAAGCTACTGATGGCGCTTAGGTCCGTTTTGAGGATACCTTGGAGGTCTTCGAGATCGGTATCACGGGTCCGCAACTGCGTCGCCATGTTTCTTACGATAACACGGAGATATATCTTCAAGACAGTTATAGTGAAGGGAAACAGAAATGAGCTGCTAGGCGAACCGCCGTGATGGTAGGCAAAGTAGGTGGCGGATAGGGTACAGCCCTACAAGTGAATCAGTAATCTTAGCTACGCGTGTAGCTTGATCCGAGGATATCCATTGCTTACGCCCAGAAACAAAAAGGCAATCCCGAGTCGGATTCTTCTGCATGCATGGCGTGCTGAAGACGTCACAGCACATAAGTAAGATTAGGAGCTGAAAAGCAGGCGCTTATGCAAGAGACCAACACGGGGTTAGCCATCCTCCCACACCTCGGTTATCCCGAGTTACCTATGTAAAGTGGTCCGGGGGCTCGGCGAAGGTCCAAAGCAGTATCATATCAGTTAATATGATATCTAAGAATTACAAAATGTCATTACGCGCGAATCTTGCAGGTTTAGGATAATTTGGTGGCAAATATTATCTTACAATGACTGCCTTGGATGAAGAGAGGAGAGGAAAGCAAATACCTCAAAGACGTATTGTGTATTATGTCAGATGCATAGCCATACCCAATCAAACAGTACATGAGGCAACTGGAGCGGGGTGCTAGGCAGACATACCTACATACACACTTACGTTGCTTTGCAAGGCTTTCCAGCTCCACGATAAGCGGACTTGGTAGGCGCTCAACGAAGCTATAAAGGCAGCCTATCCAATTCGGCCAACCCCCATTCTTCCAACACACTCGAAAGCCATTGACTGAGAAATATAAACCAATCTATAAATTATATCAAAATGGTAGGTTCACACGTTTCTTGTACCTAGTTCCATCGGCCTTTGATCATAACATCTCAACAGGTAGCATTTAAGGCTACTCTTTTGGCCGTCAATCGCGCGAAGGTCGGGTTCGTTTTAAGCGCACCCGTCCGCCCTACACTGCTCTTGTTGCCGGCGCGATCGACGATACTCCCAGACGAGCCTACCAGGCCAAGGAATATCCATAGTTCCAGCTACCTAAACAAAGATAGAACACAATCGAGTAGTAAAAAAGAGGATGATGAGAGTCGGAAGCGGTCAAAGCGAAAGACCGAACGAGCCGAACCACGAGAACACGCCCCACCAGAAGACAGGGACAAAAGCGATCGCGATCGCAACAGGTCGCAGAGAAAAGAAAAGCCTCAGGGACCACCATAGTCGGATGGAACACGCAACTGAAAGCTGTTGAGCACTTCACTCTTCTGTCCGGCGGAGGTAGGGATGGCATAACTACAAACGGCCAACCGTTGTAGGTAGAGTTGCCTGGCGTGTCTTTAGTGGGAATCAGATGTACTTTCGCGATCACCTTTATAATTTTTTTAAAGGACCAAGGTTGGGCCAAATTTTACCGTTGTGAGCAATAAACATGCCTTATTTCTATCACCATAGGCAGAGATCGGGTCTTAAGTAGTACCGGCGTGACTCATCTCAGCCCATAGGTGGTATGTTCCAAATGCTTTAATCATAGCAACACTTTCATCCAGCACCTGCTCGGTTCCTGCCCTTACTCTCTCGTCGTCGAATTCAATAGAGAATGACACTGTTACCGAAGCGAGTTGAAGCCCCTCAGGCGGCGATGAACACCTACCCAGCGCGTTGCCTCATCTTCCTTTGGTGATGTCTATGACGAGGCCTATAGATTAACGCGGTGGAGCAAAGCGGGATCCTTCCGGGCCGGGCCGAAGACTTCAAGTTAGCACGGGTGTCCACATGGCGCCCCGGGGTTTGTACATAATAAACATGTGTTTCGGCATTATGATCCATGTAAGTATATCTTGATGGCTGGTCTAACTCCAGCTCTCCAGAGCAGTGTCTGCGCCGCCCAATTTTGCATATCGAACGCTGTCTCTCCATACCATGAGCCGTTTCTGACCATCAGCGGCCTCTGGCACCACATCCTGCACGTCGGATCCATTATAGAAGCGACCTCGACTCTCTGTGGTGACATCTAGAGCAAGTCTGAGCGTGTCAGTGGCCGATTTACTGATTGTCCGGATTGGACCGTTTGGTCGCCACCAAGTCATCAATGGAGCAATCAACGGCACAATAATTGGCCATATGAGCACACTCGTGGCCCAATTCCCCCGGCGGACGAGCCCAGTCGCCATCACACCCGGGTCTATACCGGCAATGGCTATACCCTTCAGCCTCGAGTCACTGTCCAAGCGCCGCTGAAGCTCCCCTATCATCATGATCAAGCACATTTTGGCCGCGCCATATCGTCGGATGCCAGCATGGCGAGCAAAGTCGTCCCTGTTGCTACTCCAGGTGCCGTGCGCAATGGCATCAATGTTTTCTTCCCGGAAAAAGAGCTTCCATTTTTCGTCATTATAGTACCCATCCAGCTTGTGAACAGGGGCGTTGACACTATACTCAGTCCTACTGTTAGATGCCTTCAATGATAGATGCAGGATGTATTGGTGTGTTGAGGGCGAGGGGAAGATGATGATAATGAGAACGTACTCGTACGCATCGCTGCCGACAACTACAATCCGGCCGTGCTCTCGGTCCATAGCTTGGAGTAGCATGAGAGTCAATAGCCAATGTCCCAAGTAATTGGCCACGAAGGCGGCATCAAAGCCTTCCTCGGTCTCACTCTGCTCCCCCATATCATTATACCCAGCAGCCAATATGAGTCTGCAGAATGGAGGGATCGCCCCTTCCTCAACTTCAGTGCGGAGAGATTTGGCGATGGCCCGTGTGTTGTCAAGGCTCGTCAAATCAAGAGACATAATGCGATAAGTGTGTGAGCTTGAAGCCCGGGTGAGGACTGACTCAAGTGCTGAGGCTTGGGTCGCATCACGAACAACGTAGATACCATGATAAAGAGCGAGTTCTGGGGTCGAGATGATGCGAGAAACAATACCGCAACCGAGGCCTCCATTCGCGCCTGTTACAAGGATGGTTCCTTTTGAGCTCGCCATGTTCATTTACGGTAGGTAAGTCGTAGATGTCTGTGATGAGACAGGAACGGGCACCATCACTAACAACACCCAAGATTTATAGTCGTCGTAGACCAACGGATACACAGATATGTATGTACGTATGAAGGTTAGAGTGGGGTGCGTAAGCACAATGATAAAGGGAGGCGGCTTCGGGAAACCCTGTCTGCGCTCTTTGTTTCTACATTGGGTTGGGTTCAGACCTGGATCGACAAACGCAATGATGGAGAGAGCCGCCGCGCCATTGAGAGTTAATGACAATACGGCCTAGAAGGATATTGCATAAGACTGGCTCTCACTGTGTTCTCTTTTATTTTTAGTTTTCTAGGCGCTAAGAATATTTAGCTGCTATTTCACTGCTAGTTTGCACTGTACTTGGAGAGTGCTTCAAGATCATCCACATGTTCTTGGCTTATTTCTCCTCTGCCGTGTCTGCGAACCCTGGGCCCCCTCGAGGTCCTGCAACCTCAGCTGCCTCGACGAATCTTCTAATCTCCTTTTCATCCTCGTCTGTCAGCTGGACATACTGAGAAGCCCAATTTTCTTCGAGGTACTTTATCTGCTTCGTTCCAGGAATGGGGATGATGTCGTCGCCCTGCTTGAGCAGCCAGGCAATGGCCAGCTGCGAGGGCTTGCAACCCTTCTTGTCGGCCAGCTCCCTGAATTGGCTCACAAGTGTCACGTTGCGGTCGAAGTTGCCGTCTTGGAACCACGGCATGATGGTGCGGTAGTCGCCATCCTTCTGGAAGGATTCCTTGGTGCTGAAGGCTCCCGTGAGAATGCCCCGTCCCAGTGGCGAGTAGGCGACGACGGCAACTCCAAGCTCGCGACAAGTCTTGAGAAGATGGGTACCAACCGAGTTCTCAACATCCAGGACGAACGGTGAGTATTCGATCTGGACGGCATCGACGTGGGCGATCTTGCAGGCGCGTCGCAGGGTGCTGGAGCTGACCTCGGACAACCCGATGTACTTGATCTTGCCCTCCCTTGCATATAGTCAGAAAATTCGGTGGTCCATGGTGTAATGGAAGGGGAATGACACTACCTCTTTAGTTCCGCCAGCCCACGCATTGTATCCTCGATTGGGGTGGCCGGATTTGCGCGGTGCATATAGTAGAGATCAATAGAGTCGGTCCCGAGGCGGTCCAAACTTTCCTGGCAGGACTTCTTGCAATATTCTGCCGAGCTGTCAAATACGGTTAAGTCGGCGAAGCCTTTAGCAAAGCCGAATTTGCTGGTGAGGAAGATTTGGTCTCTTTTGCCGGTTCGTTTAAACCACTTGCCCAGTAGCACTTCGCTGTCTCCATAGAGACTAAGAACGCCAAAAGTTAGTCAGATGAAAGTACAGGATAAGAGTGCGTAAGTATACGTACTCGGCGCTATCCCAGTGGGTGGCACCAAGCTCGAGGGCCTTGTCGAGCAGAGCGAAACGCTCTTCATCACTACCAGGCTTTCCATAGAAGACCGACAGCCCCATGAGACCGAGGCCAATGGCTGGAATCGTTGGTCCGTACTGGCCCAGCTTGCGAGTTTGCGTGCTGCCGCTTGACATGATAAACCTCGGGCTGAAAATGTTGTTGTTGAAGTGTATAAGCTAGGAGTGATGGACAGAGAGAGATGGAGTCGAAGTCGGTGTGTATTATCTTCAGATACTCGATAGATGCTAACTGCCATGAGATATATAGTGCTCACGGGCTTCGTATATTGTTGCAAACAACATATTTGGTCCCGCGGAACCGAACGCTCGTTTGCATGGTAGTCGGAGACAAGACGATATCTCCTTAACGCCGTGCCCAAGGACCTTGAGGTCTTTGTAGCTTTGGTGTTGAGGGGAGTTTTGGTCTCCATTATGGTCTGGGTGACCCCGGGTTATCGGGGAGCTGTAGAATCCGGTTTGTGTGGGCATGAACTTAGAAACAACCTGGCAAGGCACCAAATGGAGTTGTTTAATTTGGCAAATGGGCAAGTGGCCCAGTGACAATGATGTGGTGACATGTTGTGGAACCTCGAACTCACCGTACTATATAACCTCGGGCCCGCGGGTCCGATGGAGCCAGCCCTTTATTCTACTCTCTCCAGCACGAACCCGACCTCGCTCTATTGGGTTGCAAGTACATTTCACGCAGCCGCGGGCCCGAACGCGTACTTTCAGGTTACCATCCACAAATCGGAGACTTCTGAACCATTGGAGTGACCCTACGTCACAGCTCAGTAGCAATGGATAGAGCCACAACCAAGCGCGCTGCGGTATGAAGTCTTCACCTCAGCCAATTCCTCTGCGGAAAGCTAATTCCCGCTTGCTTTCTGACAGTGTGATCCCTGTCGCAGAAGAAAGGTAAAGTGCGACAGGAACACGCCATGCTCCAATTGCCAGGCTACGCAACAGACTTGCATCACGACGGGGTTTGGCCAGAGTCACACGGGGGCGCGGCAGCGTGTTCTCATATCCGCACAGTAGTAAGTTTGCCTCATCTTATGTGAATATAGACATGTCGTTGCTGGACAGTTGGCACTGAAGGATTAAGCGAGGAGAAAATCGACAGTATTCAGCAGCGACTAGACGGCATCGAGCATCTGTTGCGCGAGCTCCTCGACAACTCAAATAAGCCTTCAACAACCGTGGAGAACTCGAACAAGCCCTCAACAGCCGTCTACGCACACACACTCGCACCTGCGCTTGAGGCACCAGCTGTACTGCCAACGAGGTCGACCTTGGCTGCGCAAACTCTTGATGTAGGTGTCATGGTCGAAAACACCGTCAAGCAAACCCCCTCAGTTCGAGCAGATCCCGACGTCGACGTCGCGCTCTCGGCACTCCATCGAATGGTGCAAAAACACCACCAAAAGTCAGTGGCCAGTGAAATAGCATTCCCAGACCGAGAGGCCCTCCCCGAAGCGTCCATTTTGAGCCTCCCACTGGTCCCTTTAAACGTTGCACTACTATTACTCCGGGGAGCCAAGGGTAAGCGACGCCATGTCCTTTCATCAGACTCTCGACGAAGATGTATTGATCCCTTTGGTAGAGCACCCCTCTCCTGCATTTACTGCAACTTTCAACTTCATGACCCTCGAGCGCTTCACCGAATACTGCCGCGCAGTCTACTTTGCTGCAGAGCCTTTCACCCTGTCATCCTTTGCAATCGTCAACGGAGGACTGTACTATATGCTTACAGAGAGGGCATACTTCGACAAGAGTCAGGATGTCAGGAAAGAGTACACAGAGTACCGGAATCTGTGCGCTGGCAATTTGCGCACGGCGATAAATAGCCTGGGCCTCCTCGTTTCAACATGCGATGAGAACATCGAGGCGTTGCTCGTCGGTGTAAGTTTGCACACCCCAGATGCCAGACACCAAGTCTACCCGTCAACCCGGAACTAATGTGACAATTGGCCCAGGCAAGTTACGCCATAGAGGTTTCACGGCCCTCATTGGCATGGCGCTTGTGCAGCGTGGCAGCCCAGATCTGCCAGGAGCTTGGATATCACTCCCTGTACCCAAATCCAGGATCAACCGAGAGAGACGGCCACAAAAGCAATCACGAGCTCCTCGCCGCCCTCTACGTCCTAGACAAAGGCCTTGCATTGCGACTCGGAAGAGCATCTGCCTTACCAGACCAGGATATCGTCGGCACATCAGGGGACACGGTTTTCGATATGAGTGATCTATGGCCAGCCATCAAACACATTTGGGTCCAACACGCACAAATCCAGGGGAGAATATATGACCAATTGTACAGTCGCCAAGCGCTTCTAGCTACAACAGCTGAAAGGGTCAGATCTGCCGTGAACCTTGTGGAGGCAACGCAGCGGTCCATGCAACAGCTTAGGTCACTAGCAGAAAGACCAGAAAATGTCGTACATGGCTCGGCCAGCGCAGACTTTGCAGGCGCCTCGGGGAGACGAACTCTCATTCTTGCCGAAGTGGTGTGCCATCTGTCGACATTGACTCTCATTTACCGCTCCATACATCAGTCACCCAGGTCTTCTAATGATGATACGCGACCGAGCGCGGAATATATCGAGACCGCGCGCGGAGCCTTTCGTTATCATGAAGAGTTGATGGTTCTGTATAAAGGAAGGTTGGAGACACAAGCCTATTACATACACTGGTAATCAACCTCGTGCTCCTCCTCACTCGGATATATGCGAGTGCTAACTAACGACTTCACCAGGACCCTGCTCTTCACCCCTTTCACCCCTCTCCTGATGGTCTTCTGCCATGTCTTCGAGTCTTTAGATCCCGATGATCTTGACATGCTCCAAAACTTCACCGCCTCCCTCGAACCTGTTCGCCACATGTCCGAGTCGATTGATCAGCTTCATTCCGTTGCTACGACCTTGTACAATGTCGCATCATCTTACTTACGAGCGAGGACCAAAGCCACCGAAGGGCCGGAAGCTCAGATGCTTGATAACAGTTTTACTGGCTACCTCAACCAGCTGGGTCTATTACCAGCACCCGACGAACACTACCTGTCCGACGATCGGTTGATCAGTGAGCCTTCTCAGACCATGGGCGCCGAGAACTGGTTTTCTGCCAACTTGAATTTATTTGGGTTGCTGGAGGGAGACTTTTCTGTTGACTAGTTTTATTGACCAAGCTGTATTTATCAGGTGAACTTGGCTCACTACCCGTATAGCTCAGTGAAGGCTCAGTGAAGGCTTAGACCTCGCCCAGAATATAAAATTATTGGTTGGTTCCAAGAATAAAAATAGCCTTTAGTGACATTATTCTATAGGATCCAATAGTGTTTAGTTGTAAGGATAGCCATGTTGCAGCGTTGCTTACTTTTGAGCTGCACTTGAAAGCCCAAGCGCATTTGTTCAGCAATATATTCTTTGGCATAATACATGATTACGAAAAATTGACATCGTTGTTACCTAGAAATCCAATTGTGTAGAGGCTTCAACGCTGGTCGTGCTGCTCGCCGCGATTCAAGGATATTTGGAGAGAATGCACTGGACGCCACTCGACAAATCTATAGAACCTGTTATAGATATCACTGTTGTCAAGAGTTTCGTGCAATCTTAGGCGCTAGGCATAAAGCTAACTGCCCTTAACTATTCTCAGCCGCTTCTTAACCACATGATTATTGAGTTCGTCTGATATGCCGATAGGCCCAACATTCGCCTAGTCACTGGATTTGATCATTTGACCCCCCCACCATCTCCACGCGCGGCTATCACTCTTCATCTAGCCTCTGATCTGTTCCGAGAATGCGTGGTCGCTCCTCATTGAGTAGGTCCTTCACGAGACCAGCAGTGGTCTCGAAAACGGGGGGTCCAACCGTGGTTATACATCCAAACAATACGGGAAGGACTAGCAGAGTACCCAAGCCCGTCGCCGCCCCTAAACTAAGTCCTACGGTAACACAAGCTCCGGTTATCATCGAGCATTCCCCGACCACAGCCGTTGAAGCGGCAATCCCTGCCCTTAGGTTCTGGCTGTGGGGATCAAGATCATTGTCAACGTCCTCGAGGACCAATGTCTCCTGTTTCGCAGGGAGGTTGAAACTAACCAACGCCTTGCCTCCCTCTCGAAACCCAAGAATGTGCAGGGGGAGAACCTCGTCTGGAAAATGAAGAGGCATGTCGAGCGTAATAGGATACCAAGTTGGGATGAGAAGGTGAAAGACAGTCTGTTTATCCTCGTGCCCCAGTTGCTCCCGCACGGCTTGCATACACAGGCAGAGATGGTCCAGGTTATGCGATATAGCACCGAAAGATGGTGGCAAAGGATCGGCCTCTACCAGCTCTTCGAATCGCCAATGCCAAGTATTGCTGGGGTGATAGAGAAAAAACATATGCCCCTCCTCGGGGTACTTCCGGAGGTGCGATCGGACGTAGCCGTACGCTACCCGGGCGAAGCCGTCAGGACCGGACCCGCCGGCTGCGGCAAGGGTGTTTTGCGCAGCGAGCTGGTCTTTGATTCCCTTCAAGTTATCGTTGATTGCCTGCAATTGGTGGATGATTCGCTCAAGGCCCTGGCCAAGTATGCTGAGTGTCGAGCCTGCCAAGATGCGCACATCACCGACTGTCTGAGCCACCGCCTGGACGTCGTCCTTGATGCTGACAGCGGCGTCCACAACGGCGGCATTGGTCAATCTCATGGAATGCGACGCTTGGCCGACGTGGTCTGCGATGATAGTCGCGTTGTGTTCTATGACCTTCGAAGCGTCGATGACAGCACCGGCCAGCCTCTGATGCGTGGCTGCCGTTGCTTCTGTGCATTTCTCAGCCGTCTTAGCCAGTGAAGTCGTGGTTTGGAGGAGTTCGTGCGCTTCCCGAGCGAACTCGGGAAGCTCACCGCGGAGGTCGCCAAGCAGCCGAGTATTAGCCTTTGCGGCATTGCCTTCATGGTATGCTTTTCGGTTGTTGATGGCGGAGGTAACCACTTCGCCTCCTTCTTTGATGACCGAAAGATATTTCAAGTATTTCGTATAATCTCCTTTGATAGGGAGGCTCTCCGGGACAGCAAGGTCACCCATATTTGGTATTGGCTAGCTATGCAGTAAAAAGGAAAATATAGTGAGGTTTAAGCTTGAGGAAATAGCTAAATCAAGGAGGGGACCTCGAGATAACACCTCTTTATATCCTGGCGATAAAGAACAGAAGGGGGTGGGGAGGCACACTCCAAGGCGCTTCCAGCCTGACTCTGCCAGATGTTGTTGGCCCTTGGGTCGCTCTTTGGTCGCCATCATACAAAGAGCTGTGTATAGCGTTACAGTGTAGATACATGATTATTCGTGTTCTCCCCCGTGAGCATAGCGATGTGAGAGGCGTTCTCCACTTATTAATGCAGTTGGCCATAGCTTGTGGGTGTAAGCTTCTATTTATCTTGTCTTGTTCGTTGGGCTGACCGGCCTCGAGAAAGACCATGCAGCCATGTAAGCTGCAAAAATCCTGCCATTTGGCCGCAAACGCCGACCAGGCATACACCATAGAGTTGACTTACTGAGGCCCGTAAGCGCTCAGAAGGGCGGTCCGGCAACAGAGGAGGTAATTAGCCAAGTCTCGAAATAGTTCTTCTTTACCTACTTTGGCCTCTCAAATATTCCAACTCATTATATGCTCGCACCGTCGCCTTGGGACTAGAAGCAGCGACCTTACTACTCCTGATTAGGCGAGGCAAATACCATTTCTAATTTCCATTCGAGCGGGAAATCTACGGCTGCATGTGGATGTTTTGTTGATTTTCAGTTCAACTCACGAGGACGAGCTTCTCGGTCATATGCAGCTTCACGGTGGGGAACGGCCATGGTAAGCAGCGTAACCCTTCATTTACTGCCCCAAAGAGACGAAAATGATGGAATAACCAAGAATGGTCATATACTCTACATTCTTCCTGCGCAGACCGGTTCATAATAGTTCCGCTTGATCGACAAGTCCACTAAAGCAGCGAAACGGCGTCCGAGGCAGGTCGTGGGCGCTTCCTAGCCAAGAGAGTCGTTATGCAAACCTGTGCTCTTCTTGCTACTAAATATGAAACAAAAATAAACAAGCTATTTCTTGGAACTTCCTCCTGGGCGATTTGTAATAATGCGTGACTGAGAGAAAATAACTCTTCTTTCGCTTGGTCAATCCAATTATGTAGAGGCTTCAATGCAAGTCGTGCTAGTCGCCTTATTTAACAAAGAATGGCAGTTTTGCCGCACGAAAATGGCATACTCATGACATCTGACAATGTTAAAATTGGCTATTAGTGAATTTTCCTAGGGCATGTGAAACCAGTTTCGCCGAGGAGGAGCAAATCATCAATGTGTGATGGCTCGTGATCCAGTCCTGCGAGTGCAAGGGTACAGATTGTGCATTACATTTTAGCTTTAGTCAATTGGGGATGTGTATCCGATGCTCGCTCCGAGATCACATGTTTTCGCATTATGTAGGCAACAATGATAAGGTTTACAGGTGCCGATAAATTCTCATAGCATAAGTCGATAATCGGGTCAATTCGGAGCTCCATCACCTGCAGTAGAGATCTCCTGTTTCTGACGTAGCATCCTTTCAAACGCGTGATGGCAGGGGTAATAATCATGAAATACAAAGACACGGCCGATTCCGCCATTTGAAACTCTCACATTGCTAATCTGTTATTGCTAATAAAACTTGACGTATTCTTACTCCATCTTATAAAGTGCTATTGTTCATTGCTAGTTTGTGTGCCCATCCACTTGATCCACTATGGGAAGCCTTCGACCCGTTGTTATTCCTCGTAAGATCACGTTCTCCTCACCGCCAGACAGGCGTTGACTGATGTATTTTCCAGTTGCTCGAAGAGCGAGTTTCCAAGTAGCTGCTGCTTGCTTCTCGTCTATTTCCGTACACAGAACACATGCACCGTTCGCGTATTACGATGGTTCCACAGCCTCTCAACTGACCTCCTTCGACGCCGCCCATCTCCATGGAGAGCTTATGGGGCCTCTATACAGGGCAGCCTCGATCTTCGAGGCCCATTGCAAGGAATCGGGTATACAAAAATCCTTCTGATTTGTGCTATATTGTATCCTACAATGCTAACTACTTTCAGTATACCATGGGACAGAGGAAGTAGAACATGTTCACCACACCGATGCTGGAGCAGGCTCTTCGGTACCGCCCAACCCAGCTTCCAGACAGAACCATGAGGGCCATTAGCTGGGGGACCCAACCATTTTTTTTCGGTTCAATGTGTCAGCCTTCAATCGTTCACCTAGACGATTTCTTTCCGCGAACTCTTTTAACCCTCATCATTATTCCCACCACTCAAAAGCCTCCCGAAGGCCTTTCAATACCACTCGTACGAGCAACAGAAATCGAAAAATGTCCCCCTGGGACCACAACCATAGGGAGTCATTCAAACATACAACTAAAGTCGACATTCATAGAGGAAACAGAACTTTGAATAAGATTGGGTCTCAAATCTTGGGATCTCTTGACAATTCCGGGCCGACACTCCGGGTCCTAGCAAGCTTTGCATTCCGCTAACCGTCATATGTGTCGGATCGTCACAATCTTGAGACTCTATCATGAGCCTTCTATCAGCTACTCGACTTTCAACTTTCTTGCAGCTTCCAGGTCATCCAGCTAGGATCCAATAGTAGGCATCTGTAGCCATTTTGATCTTCAGACACTGTGGAGCAGACCTGGTTCTTCGAAAACTTGAGCAGATCCAGGAAATGGAAACCAAGGCATAAGGCCTTTGGTGTGGCTGACGGTATTCTATCTAAGAAGAAATTTCCAGATATCCATTTAAAGAGGGCAGGGCGTACTGGTGCGGCTGGGAGCAGAATTATAATTTCTAGGATAATAAATATACTTTGGTGCAAATTACATACCCACGTCCTCCTGACAATGAGAAAGGGTTGCGGCATACCCAATGCGATGCTACTTCAATCCAACTATATTGACCCCCTCCAATAGTTGAATGGCTTCTTTATTTGAAATGAAATCGCCATGGCTCTGATTTCGATCCCATTTCTCTTGTTCATGCATGTATAGTCAACATTGGGACTAAATGTGATTAGGCAGCTTAACTATCTGCGAGTATACCAGATAGTTTCCAAAGCAAAGCCTAATTTTATTTCTTTTACTTCCCTCGAATGTTTTGGAGCCAAGGACACCAAATGAAGGGGATATCAAGACTGACTCAATTCAATATTCGACATTCGGCTCCACCTTTTTCTCGTCACCAAACTGCTCATCCTCTTCACTTACTATAGCCTGTAGTTTTTCTTTCTCGGTTCCCAGGCCAGAGTTTGAGTCAACTCTAACTGCCATCTTCTTTTTCCAAGTCATAATAGTGCTGGTGCCGCCAGAAGTGTTCTTCAATGAGCTCTCCGAGGGCGAGTTTATTGCAAGAACCATCAGCTCAGTAACATCCTCCCATGCCTCAGAGGAGTAGGACGTGTAAATCGTCCACACACAATGAGAAAGGGCCATTGCCGTTAAATGAAGAGAAGCGACAAGGCAAGCCGGCTTGCAGCATTATCTGCCTTGTAAGAGAGCCCGGGTATAGTAATATACCAGCGCATCCTCGTCTGGTTTGTGTTGCTTACACCATACGGCGGCGGGTATGTATATGAAGGGTTCTCTGGGGCACCTGAAAAAAAGTTCCCATAGTCCTTCGGATCTACGAAGCAAGCATCGATTGTTGGGTTCCCGACTTGGTAACGTATCCCAATTCTGGATACGCCGTCTGCAACTAGGGTTGATACGGCACTCTCCGCGATACCATAGACTGTCTCAAGGTTAGGGAACTTCACGGTTCCATTAATTAAACCGGAAGCTTCGAATAAAGGGGTCATCGTGTTCCATTTTCCGTCCGCATTTTCCATCACTGGCGTTAGGGTATGGAGCCATTTTGGCTCGATGGTAATTTGTTGCCACGATCCGTCATCTTTGGGACGAAGACTGCCAGACTCATCATAACCGGCAAGCTTTCCTGAGGGCTGACGGAGATGATTGGGGTCAAGAACCGGCCTAATAGCACCATCGGCAATGACCACACCTGGGGCCCAGCGCGCATCAATGCAACATGTCATTAATGAAGCAGGGACACCATTTGGGCCTTTTGGTACTTGGGCTACTAAGAGAGCACTCCCGTAAGCGTTAACCATGGCGCTATTATCGGCTGCACGGACTTGGATTTTGGGCATGCTGATCCATTCGATCCCCGTCAACGTGGTAGGGGCAAGCTCCTTTGGCAACGTGAACAGTCTTCCTGTCCAGATCTGAAACGGCTCAACTAGTGGAAACTAGATAAGGAAGCAATATAATTATCTTAGCAAAGATTGGTGTTCTCATAGTCAGCAACGATACTCACTTTGAAATCTCGCCTGCTTTCTAGACCGCCTTGGTAATGGCAAACAGTTCGGACAGCTGGGAAACTAGTGGGAATATAAGTAGTCTTGCCAGTAGCGAATTTGAAGTTTGCCGCTGGCGACAACTGCCCGACATTGGTAATTGCGCCGCGCCATGCAAGGTCCAAGCTGCCACTCCATACATTAAATGCTGGCTGTGATGCTATCGTCCAACTCTCCGCGGCGTGGCCCGGAGCTCGGGGGTTCTGAAGAACGTGCCTTTCCTGCTGCCACTCGAAAAACGGGATTGGGTATCCTGGGTACACCATCAAATTACTTGCCCATTGAGTAAGTGCTGCCAGGATGGTGGGGTATCCTGACCAAGGGCAGCCCAAGTCATCTCTCGCGGGCCTGTTCAATCTTTGTATGGAAGGTGAGCGGCACAAAGGCCCTCCGTCGGAATCTCCGTCCAAGTTCACTGGGAATAGAGTCGCTTTATCGCCAACTGCATTGAAGTACGCAGCGCCCGCCTGCCAAGCGGCTCGACCTGTCGGTACGACTAGAAGAGCAGTAGCTGGTCCAACCAATGCGATAATAACGCCAGACGAAATAAGCCAGATACAGATGAACCAAGTTCCCAAACTCCGTGGAAGACCTTTAACTGCACCCCAGAACTTGAATGTGAAAAAATACTTGATTGTAGTAAAGCTTTGGCCTGCTGGAGCCATACCTAACGGCAAACCATGGTCGCTCCGTGTGAGCATAAAGCGGACAATATCAATGATTGTTAAGCTAAGCGAAGACCCAATGACCAGCTCCTGTATATTTTAATTAATCGGACATTGCATACAATAGAGGATAGGAATTCGTAGACGCGCTTACAAGTGCTTTTGCAGCTACTTGAAGACCAAGAACGGCCGCTTGTTGGGTGTATCGGTCGGCATTGCCAGCCACCCTCGAACCCCAGAAGTAGCCCTTGAAATTTAGGCTGGCCAAAGCTATGACGGATAATATAGGTATCAAATGGATCTGGTTAGATCACCCGTCAGTATAACCCAAGAAAAGGCCGGCTGGCAAGAACAAATGAAGGGAATGGGTTTTACCCAACAGCGTAAGATGGCCTTTTTGTAACTACGCTTCCAGACTGTTTTCGGGGCCTCTTCTTTTCTGGAGAGATAAAACAACTTCTTTGGAGCTTGGATGATTTTGTTGAACAATTTGTACTGCATTTTGAAGTTACGTTTTCGCGATATATCAGGTTACCATTTCAACGAACTGAGAATGCCACGGAATGCCAAAGCTCTGGCTTATATATTACTTTAGGCTCATCTTCCCCATCACTTGAACTCACAAGAAGATATATGATGTGTCAAAAGTTGGGCATTAGTGCATTACCGTGGCGTCTTTGCGCGCCTCCGGTTGTAAGCCGGTGGCGCTGCAGCCAATATGTATAATTATACGGAACCACTCCTCAGCCCTCTATCGAATAGCTGGTATCTATTTATATGCAAGACATATACTAGAACTAAGGCTTGATGTGCACATACAATTATCTTTGGTCATTGAGTAAAAAAAAATGACAGGTCAAAAGCAGTTTTATAGGACGCCAACTCAGCCCTCCTTCGGCTGACTTGGTTGATGCAGGTGAGACTAGCCGCAGGGGCTGTGCTGGCGCCTATTGCTACAAATCATTGAATCCAGTACGCCACCGTGCTGTTGCCTACCATTTGTAGACCTGGTTCCATGGGATAACTCGACCAACTGCAAGACCAGATCATATGAGTAGAGTAGTAGTATTGTAGCCTAGGAATCCTCATTAGTGGCAAACTCATAGGATCGAGCGCCAAGGCCAGTTCGCTTTACATGTTTTTTACTTTGTCGGGTCTTGTTATTAATGAGAGACATTCGATCAGCCATGAAAGCTCATCTCCATCGGCCGCGAGCATCGCCCCCGTAGACCATTTGCTTTTGTGCAGAATTAGCTCAGGTGAGGTGGTCGCCTATCGTACTCAGCTTACGCTCTGGCCACTGAACCAACTTTTAGACCCAATCAGCCACACGCATGCGGTGCATCCTCGACATTGTGCAAACAAGGCTCCAGCCTTGATATCGTTTTTTCAGCTCATAGGGCTTTCAGGGGTGAGATTCGATAATAAATGGATGGCTTAGAGGCCCGTAAGCTGCCTACTGCGGCCCATACACCTCTTTATACGGCTCTCCCCAGATCGCCCACTCGCCCCCGGGCTCGGGAGGTGGGCGAGGTGCATGTTGATGACCCGCTGAAGAGCTCAGCACCAGCCCAGCCTTTATAGATATCCTAGAGCCCAGACATATCTCGATCATCATTCTACTGCTCTGCATTCCAGTCCCGCAGACTGGCCCATCATGTTTTCCCTATCACTTTTCACAACCTGCGTCCTCATTGCGTCCTGCCTCTGCAGATGCTGCTGGGCATCGCCTCTACCAAACGCAGCAGCAACCTCCCAGCTCTATATTACTGTCCAGCCTACATCTGCTCAGCCCACATCTAAGGCATCCACGTCAGGGCCTCGGACTTCTAGTAGCACAAGCTCAAAGACTATTTCGACGTCATTCTTCGCCAGTTCCACTACCACAACCTCAAGATTATCCTCCTCGACATGGCAGACAACCACCACCTCTACCTCTAAACCCCCTGCAACGACGCAGGCCATGAGCACATGGGCCTGGACATCCCTTAGCAGCCAATCCAGCAGTTGGAGCCAACCACCTCCCGGCCAGACGCAGTGGAGCGACCCCTGGGCTCAGTCCACAAGCTACGTATTCCAAACATCCACGTTGGAACGTGCCGGCAGCACGGCTACCACAGCCAACGCACCATTATTGACATCCGCCACCGACGGGAAAGTCTCAGATAACGATAAGGAGAAGGAGAAGGAGTGGACATGGAACGGTATCAAGAAGGGCGAGCTTGCTGGAATCGCCGTGTCAATCGCAGGAGTCATTGTTGCCATCGTCGGGGTCATTATTGCCTGGTCGCAACGCTGCTTGTGCTTTCGCTAGCGCTAGACGGCACTGTTCCGCATTTCCTCTCATTTCTCGAGCATGGCGAGCCAAGGGACGCCCCGATGTGATCGCGAGGAGTGAAGAGCCTCTCTCCTTTCGACCAGCCCGCCGAGCCACCTTGCTTTTCATAGCGGTTCAACTCAACATGAACACTATACGCTTGTACACAGATATGTTTTGATACAAGATGCTGCGTTCTTTTCATTCATTCATTTCAGCGATAACTACCTAAAAGGCCTCCCAGCGTCAAACAGGCGCTAGCAAGAGGCCTACATGAAGGCATGTCAAATAGATCCCCAACAGCGTTTCCCCGGAGTTGTTGTTTTCATAGAGAACTAGCCTATAGAGTCATAACAGACATAAAATACATAACATTTCTTATAGAGAAGAAGAAGCAAAACTGTTGGCAAGTTTATGGATTCACATAGTTGTCAAAGTGCATTCCACGATAAGATCAAATCCTAATACTTATAAGCCGTGGCTAGTTTCTCATAGTGCACCTTCTGTATGCTGTAAAAACCCGCTATCGTGTCGGAATTGTATGTTGACCAGCTCTGATAAATTCATTCGTCTCATACACGCTCTACTTCGATAACGTACTCTTCACTCTCTTGTTTTACCACCTCAATCGTCACACCAAATTCAGACGATGTATAAGAGCTAGCACCAGACCCGTCCAGTCTCAAAGGTGCGTTTCCAAAGGCGGTACCGTCGCACCCGATTGAATCCGGATTAGAGTCGAGCACGACAACTGGGCCCGTCCCAGTTGCCACGTGTGTTGCAACCGTGTAAAGAAGCACTCCTTTGGCACAAGATCCAACGTTGTTGCCGTTACTCGACCTCACTTCAGCAATGAGGGCAGAAGTCTCGTTCTTCTTAATCACCACAGCCTTGATCGGACTGTTCCCGCCTGGCGCATCCATCGGAGAGAGTGTATGTGTCGTTTTGCCGGCCTCTGAAACACAATCCACCTGCTCATCCTGAAGCCACCCCAGACGCCACTTGTCCCATGCGAAATAGTCGGGACTTGCTCCGTTGATATACCCCATCAAACTCCAGCCTCCAACATACATTCCCGTCTCCCCCCCAGAGAATGGATAGTAGTCTGCAAGACCCATTGCATGACCAGATTCATGGTTCAACACTTTGGAGAACCATTTAACGTATGCGTCATATCCAATGGTCACTGCTTTCTTCGCCACCTTCACCCCCGAACGCGTCGTCACGGGTCCCATGAAAGTCGGTGAGAAGCTAATGGCCGTCGCATTCTTCGTGGCCACGACGTACAGGATATCAACAGGTGTCAGCTTTTGGCCATTTTCTTCGTACGCCTGCAAGGCATCCTGGATGTATCGGTTGTGCGCCTCCCACGTCAAGCCGCGAGTGAACCCATATGACTCGGTATCGCTGGGCATGCGGAAGAATTTGGACGTGTCCGCCGTGATCTGGTGGTTCAATTTACCGAATGATGCGGTGCTGAACCAATCGGGGCCCTCGGGGATAAAGATATCCCTGAGTGTCTCGGTGGATTCACTTGCGGTCCCGTCGATGAAGTCGACGAAAATCATGAATCCGGTCATCGTTCCGAGGCTTGGGGCACTGTCATAGTCGCCACCAAAGCCGGAGCTGAGATAAACATCCTGGATTGCTGGTAACTTGCAAGCGGATGGGTTGGCGTCTGTGTCGGCAAGGGAGCTTTCGATTAAGACAAAGCCCCAAGCGAGGGTGGAAATGGCTGCAAGACGCATCGTAACTAGCCTGTTGGAAAACAAGCAAAGTGGCGCTCAATTTTGCCCTCAAGTATTTGGGGATTGCAAGCTGGGCTTTTTTATATAACCGGGGCGGCACATCAAGCCATCTGCTTGGGTCTCGTTTATCAATGCTACATCAAGCAGGGAGCTACAAAGATCCATCCAGAGAAGGAAAGTGGTAATGCAAGTATCTTCATAGGCCCTACCGTAGTTCGCCTAACACCCAATGGAGCTCTGTAAGACACATTCCAGCATACAACACACGATGCATTCGTAAACAACCGCAGATTAGGAGGAGTGCCACACATCAGGCAAGCCAGCATCAATAAAAATTTGAGAGAAGATTACTGGAGACGACAACGTCTAGCAAAACCAAGAGTGAATGTCTTTCTCTGAGAAAGCGTCGATCATCCGATTTTTCCGGGTATCGTTGCCGATCGCCGGATCCCCAGTCCGAGTACGGCGGATCGGAAGGACACTGAGGATTGTTGCAAGGCCTTTGATCTGGAACGGGAACTTGAAATGTTGAACAAGTCGAGACTCAGGAAGACCATCATTAGCCTCCATATTGACGCTCATAGCATCAGACATTACCAGCTAAGTATTCTCTCCTAATAATTAGACCATCCGATGACCAGATTGAACCCATATCGGGCTTTCGGTTCTCTCTAACAGTAGAAACTCATTAGTAAATAAACCAAGGGTTTCGAAACCACCTATCAAACTTCATATTGCCAGCGGATATATGGCCGGTCGGAACTGTATCCTATCTATTGTGCATCCCGTCATTCGGAGGCCTGTCAAGACATGGACATGCCAACGCCGGCCCGACCATCCGATTCATAGATAAACCCATCCGGCACACTCTGTTCTGCCTGTAAGCTCTATTTATCATTTAATACCCTATGTCCAGTTGATGTGAACATGGGTTTTATCTATTCTTTAATTGCTAGCGTATGGTCCGACAAGAACTAGTCCGAGGAAGCGCAACCAGTATGGGGACAACGTACTACCTCTACCCATGACATGTTGCTTAAATCGTCTCCATTCTCTGGTGATTCATTGCGTTTTGTACAAGAATGCCCTAACTGAGCTATTGAAGTCCCTGATGTCCTAGAAGGTTTTGAAACAGAACATGTCATGATCAACTCAATAATAAGAAGTCCAACTACCACCACAAATCTATGGAGCTGAGTTCCAACATATTTTAATATATTATTCTCTTCATGCGAGGAAAGGTTGCCTAAATGTTGGCATGATAGGCTAGATTACCTAGGTTACCAACGCAGGTAAAGTCTCTTTTTCTCGCCCAAACCTCTGAAAACTGCACGTACAACGGAAATCTGAAAAGTGAATATAGGAATTGTCGTCACTTGAGAAAGAAGGGGGCAGTATTTGCTACCTGCAATTGCATGTCTAGGATATCGACATCACCGCCACTTATCCAAACAAGAGCTTTACGAATATCTGCGCGTCACGTGGAGAGTCTGTCCGCCCGAGTGAGGTCGGTGTCATCGTGGTGGTCAGTAACTAGTTGAGAAAGGCGACTATTTCCTCGGGGCAGACTGTATGGCTCACATCTTCTCCAAAAGTATGAGATTTTCAAGGGTTGGGAAATAGCTCGTGATAAGTGGCTGAAAGGCGTTGTGAGATCTGACCACACGCATCCCGTTTCCCGCATGACCAAAAAAACTCAGCTGGGGATTTCAGCACCACTTGTAAGTTTCAAATGGGCAACAGCAATACAATAGTGATGAATTATCATTTAATACCTGAAGCTACCAATTTAACCTGAATTAATCTTAACTTAATCATCTTTTACGGAGAGAAAATAGGGGCCCATCCGGCGAAACTACACGGTTGATATAGGGTAACGTCGGCCGCGTGTGTTTAGCCCAACAAGGTCCTCAACGCGCCTACGCCACGGCCATCCTTCGAAGCAAAGGGCGGAGCAGATTCCCGCGCTGGTTCTTTACATAACTTAAGCTTACCAATCTATGTGGCGTTGCATGTTGTCGCGTTATCCGCGCCCAGGTGCCGCGGGAACCGAAGTGCAACACCCTCGCGCCTAGGATATGCCACTCTAGCGATGAGTTTGTCGACGAAGTTGCCGAGACGCAGAAGCGTAGGCACCTATTCTGGGAGCTTTACGCCTCGGATCAAGACCCATTACGCTGGTGATCTCGAGCTTTTACGTTTAATCATCATCAGAGGAAAGCAGGTGTGATCATCAGCACCACCGGCTCGACGTACGGAGAGCGAGTCGAACATTCGACAACTGAATCACTACGATATACCATACCAGCTTCGACACAAAACGCAGACGAGGGGAGCCAGTTTGATGCTCGGTTAGTGGTGGCAGTTCAAGAAGTACCCCTAATATGCCACGGAGCATGAGACTGATAGCAGACGACAACTTGATCCGATAGACCGAGACGCACATTGCCTTCCTACATCTACGACCACATGTCCCCTAGGTCGCCTTGCTTGACAAGTTTAACCTCTCGGACGAGGGCGCTACAGCATACCAACGAGAGTCATTTGGGGTCTAGAGGGTTCTGTTCATGATAATCTAGGCTGACCTTTCTATCGATCTCGTCTACAGTTTGGCGACCACCCGACTAATTTGGTTTTTATGAAGATAAAGACTGGCCATGGCTTACCAAGACTACAAAAGAGGTGCCCTTTTCAGCGCTGTAGGCCTTGAGGAAAATAACAGTATCTACGATTCATTCCGTGAGTACAGAGTATGTCCCCTCAGCCACGCGTCATGTTCTTGAAGAAAGAAGGCTTCGTTGACACAGATGTGCATTTTTAGGTCGATGAACTCCAACCCGTCCGAAGCTTCTTGCTGTTCCTCCTGCATACCATCGACAACCCCCCATTAGCGATTAGGCCACCCCTATACTTGTCCAACCTTATCAATGGACTCTGCAGTCTCGACTCAAGGGCGTCCAATGAGCCCGCTATGCAACATACTTAGCGTTTTAGCGACGATCTAGAACTTCAAACTTCTCCCGCCCCTTGTGCTTGCGATATAGGGCTTTGTCTCGATCGAAACCATGGGGAGAGGGGCTTTTGGCATAAACGTCTAATAGTCTTGTCGTACAGATGGGAAAATAAAGGCAAATTAATACCCACAGTAGCGATAGGATGGTAGAAATAAGATGGACTACTTGTGGGAACTGCCTGGTTTCTCGGTGTCTGTTTGACCTGGCAGCTTTGAGAGCCGCGTTGACATCTCTT